TGTGCTCTGAACCTTAAGCAGAGTTCTTCCCTCTCTGTTCTCCCATTTTGTTTTTGCATGTTTGGAGAGAAGAAGTGACTCAAAGGCAGAGGGAAGATTTGGGCTGCCTGCCAGTCCCTTGGTGCTGTGCTGTGCTGTGACCTGCTGCTATGGGCACACACCCCCCCCCAATGTAGCTGTCTTCGCTCCCTTTGTCTGGAACTGGCCTGTTTCCTGAGCCAGGCCTTTGAATCGGTCTTCATCTGCTGTAGTCCAGGCCTTCGCACAACAACACTGCCACTGGTGACCCAATGCAAGGGACAAGGAATGTGCGGGATGGACCAGCTGAGTGGATGAACACAAAGGGGAAAGAGACAAGAGTCTAGAAGAAAAGCTCACATTGTATTAGTTAAAAGGCAAAGGGATGCCTCGTGGAGATTATTTTTTTTAATGCATTTATGAAAAGAAGCCGGAAAATTTGTACCGTATTTTAAAGAGATATTTAAATTACCATCTGAAATGTATCCTCCTAAGCAGGATCAACATTTTATACCTGAAGGGGGAAAAAAGATCAAAAGCAGCAGTAAAAAGATCAACAGCAGAAACAAAGTGTGATCTCCAAGCCTAGAAATGATGGCCGCAAATGGTGTTAATTTGAATTTTTCTATATGCTTTAGTAACTCTCTCCTGAAAGGGAAAAAATGAATAGATGTTTAATCTGACACATTCATCTGTTCCCCAGTTTTCCAAAACAGATATCTCTGGTTAAGTCATGATTACTCCTTTCCTGATTTTGTAGATGCTTATCTATTCACATTTTCCTAAACAGGCACCTTGTCAAGAGTCTCTTTGTGAGATATTCTGTCCCTCCAGCAGTGTATAAAATGAAAAGTATAAGTGGGGAGAATGCTTAATAACAAGATTTTATTTTTATTTAATAAGACAAAATGTACACCTTCAAGTTGTTCTACGTAGTCTGACAGTTCAATAGGCATTTTGCAAAACAATGGGTATGAATTGCTTTGAGGGCTCTTAGTGTAACTGGATATGTTTCTAAGCTGAAATCTAGCACAGCCTATCTTCACATTAGACAGCAGTTGGATGTGTTCTTTGTTTCTGAATTTGGTTTTGGTAAGGATAAAAATGGAAAAATAATGCAAACATATGGCGACGGGGTTACTTAAAGGAAGTTATCATCTGGTTTCCCCTCCTCCTCTTTCTGCAATTTCCATGAACAAAAAAGGCAATTGCATAACAAGGCCCTAAAATAAATTAGAAATAGAAATAAAAATAATTTCAGAACAGCGTATGAAATTGAAAAGTATAAATAATTTCTGCTGTGGCAGGCAGCTGCTAATCGCTTGACTCAACTCTGGTTCTTCTCATTCTGGAACACATAATTATTAAAGGTTTGACTTTAAGCAGATATTTGTGCCATTCTGAGAGTTTTATTAGAAATTTGGTTTGTATTTGTAAATAACATGCTGTTTATGGTCTTCATTAGCAATATATTCCATTGCACCCAGACATGTACCTATCCATGTCTTTGATTACTGATTACCGGCAAACAATATATAGATCTTACAAAATCAACATCTCTGCCCACTGCAGCTGAAAAAAAATCCAATTTCACAAAGGATACTGCTTGTGAATTGACCATGTGCCTTCAGGTTGGTGTCATTTCTTAGTGAACACATAGTTAGATTTTCTCCAAAATGATCTGTCTCTAACCCAGTCTTTCAGGTCCAATGATGCAGCCATTGTTGCTGTAACTGAGTCCATCCATTTATTGCTGATCATCCTCTTCTCTTCCCTTTTACTTTCCCCAGCATTAGATCTTACTTCAGAAAGCTATATCTTCACATCACGTTTTGGAGCGTAGCCATTTGTACCTCAAGTGAGAACTTTGGACTAACATCACAACATCTGAATATCTTTTACAAGACCTTCATTGCTGTTCTACCAAATGCTAATCTGTAGCGTATTTCTTGACTTGTTCCTTTACTTTATTAGAGTAGAGTAATTAGCACAATGCAGGTTGTTGATGTTTTTCTCTTTAATTTTAGAACCAAGCTAAACTTCTTCCAATCCAGCCTTCCTTAATTTATATTCAACATATAGATTAAATAATTGAGGGAGAGTATACAGCCTTGTCATACTCATTTGACAACCTAGAGCCAGTGTGTTTTGCCATGTTCTGTTCATACTGTGATTTCTTGACCTATATACAAGTTTCTCAAGAGGAAATGAGGTGTTCTGGGATTCCCATTTTTGTAAGCATGTTCCACAACTTGACGTGATCAACACAAAGGCCTACAGTCAATGAAGCACATACAGATAGTTCTCAGTTAACAACAACAGTTGGGACTGGATTTTTCATTAATAAGTGATGCAGTTATAAAACAGCGGTGTCACATAGCCGTACTGTTTAGGGACAGCAATTCCGGTACTTCTGGTTGATGTTGTTAAGTGAATCCTGACTTGTCGTTGGATAGGATGTGATGTGGTCACCATTTGCAACTTCCTGCCAGCATCCCCATTGACTCTGCTTTCAGAATCCAACAGTGAAGGACACAAATGGCAACAGGAAAGGTGGCACATGACTCTGGGATGCTGAAATGTCATAACTGTAAGGCAGCCACTGAATGCCTAAACTGCATTCATGCTTCCTCAGGGACATTGCGATAGCTGGAACTTTGAGGACTGAGTATAACTACCACTAATTCAGCATCATCATAAGTCCAAACAGTTGCTGAACGAGTGGTCATTAAGTGAGGACCATGTGCATAACTTCTTTCTTGGCATTCTTTGGTTTTCTCAATTATCCAACATACATTAGCAATAAACTGCTCGTGAATAGCAAGGGACAATATATGTTGGCACCAAACTGATCCAGAAAAATACTAAGATTATTACTAATAATTAAGATAAAAAAAATTCCATCGTACCCCTATAATCTGCAAAATCTTTTTGTGTGTGTATGTGTGTGATGTCTGCTTGATGCTTTACTTATATAAGTAATACGTTTGAGTTCCAGGCATCTCCAGATGGTTAGGGCATCATCATGAAAAGAGAGAAGGGGAGAGGGAAGAGGAAGAGAAAGAGAGAAAAGAGAAGAGAAGAAAAGAGAAGAGAGAGAGAGAGAGAGAAGGCTTAGGATTTACTGATTCTGATAGATAGATGGAACTAGGTAAGACAGTACATGCTGATAGCTCAGGATAAGACATCATATTAGTCTGCCGGATCTATTTCTAAAGATTAGATCATTAAATTCTCCCCAGGCAAACATATAGAATGCATTCATCTTGGTTCATAAATTCATTTATCAGAATAAGTTTCAACTCCTGGTTCTGCCTTTATCGTTGCTAGTGCATATTAGAATCACTGCTTCATAAATAAATACCTGTGGTGAAACAACAGGGGAAAATTCCACCCATTTACCACCTTGTTGAGTTCTAAGTATCAAAACTCTAGCGAATGCTCTGAAAGTATTTGGCTATTGATGTTAAGCTGCCAACATAGCTGTTTTTCCATGATTTCAAGCATCACAGTTAGCAGAGGAATGCTGCACATTTTTTCCCCTGTAAAGCACAACTGTGCCATCTAACTGAATCTGCAAGTATGTCTGAGGTATACGAAGGACTCTTTCACATAAATTTCAATCTGTTTCCACCCCTTAATCCCTGACAATCCAGTTTGAAGCCAACCACAACCATGTTCATTCACTTCTTCTGGCCTGGAAATGCAGAAAACAGGAACACCATGAGGCATTCAGTTCTGCCTCCAGTATGAAAACTGAGATCAAATAGCACCCTGTCCCTTGGTAGAATAAAAATCTCATCTTTGTACAACACATGGAAAGAAAGTGGAAAGAAGGTGCTAGCACCCCACTTTTCCTTTTTCAGTACACGTTGTAGGTGCATTTGACCATTTGCAATAAACGTTTAACTGTTTTGGAGGGAAAGAAATTGGCCTGCTGTGAGAACACAGTTTCTTCTGCTACAATTTAAAACCCTGTATTAGATAGGCTGCTAGAAAGTTGATATATACAAAACAGAGTGGTCTTTTATGGTACATTGTGTTTTTCCCTTAAATTTTCCATTTCTCCCTCTTCTCCCCCTTGAATTAGCCTGTGCAATCCACTCAGTGGTGCATTGCCTATTTCTGTAATTGCATTTTATTGGACAGCGTCTTCCAGCTACTCTGGGGAAATAGACTCTTCATTATACACATAACTGGTGGCATGGTAGTAGTATCTTTGCAATTTGATATTTATCATAATAGAGCCAACCCTAGTTGTGATTTGTGGTTTACACCTTCTACAGGTATGTTTGAGGGTTTTCATGTGTTTGATAGGAGAGAGAGTAATGGCTCATTTGAATTCCATGCAAGTTGTTTATTTAAACAGAAAACCTAGCCAGGAAATTTTTTGCAGTGATTGTGAAACTGACTACAAGTGTTAAGAGTGCTCCCTGAGAAATTATAGAAACAGAGGAAGCTTTCTTTTTCACATATAGTGACATTGACTAGGAAGTGAACAGAAGGATTTAGATTGAGCTGCCTGATAGGGTTGTTTAAATTCCTTTCTTAGGATAGTTAAGGAAATGGATGCTGAGAAATATTTAATTATGGCCAGGAGCTGACAGGTGTTGTGAAAGAAGAGCAAAGTCAGTAGAAAACCAAATTGTTCACAGGCCCTATCATTTTGCAGGAAAAAAGGCTAACTTTGCTCCAGGTTCAGACAAATAAATGTGGAATCAAAAAAGCTTTGAAAGAAGCCAATTTATCATGGGGATAATGCATCTGGAGTCAGCTGTAGAGGGGTGCGTAGAGAGTATGCAAAGTGCAAGTTAGAAATGGGCCTTTTTACTAGATTCATCCTAATTTGGAAGCAGCTGTATGAGAGCATTTGCATTGTTCAGTAGGTGCAATATTCTGCACTTACCCATCAAAAGTTTCTGTCATAATTATTAATTGGCTTCCCTGAAGTTTTATAACAGAATTCTGCTTTCTTTTTACAGCCTATCGTGGGGACGTCTGGAATTCCACAGGGGCCTTCAGATGAGAAAGTAGCTGTGGTGACCGTAGACGACTGTGACACTTCAGTGGCCTTGAAATTTGGCTCTATTCTAGGAAATTATTCCTGTTCAGCTCAAGGGACACAATCAGGCACAAAGAAGTGAGATTTTTTACAAGCACTATTAAGTTCATCTGATGAGCTTGTAATATAATAAGTATGGAATAGTGATGGGTGAAAGCAGACTGACTTTACAGGAGTTATTCAGCGGGGAAATGGCTGTCAGAAAGATAAGCCGTGGGGCTACAATTAACTTTGTTAATTTCCCTGGCTCAACTTCACCCTATATGAAAGTAAAGTACTATAGATTTTATTGGTCATCCACTTTAATGTGCTGGTATTCACGGAGATAGGAAGCTGGTATTTTGACACATTGCATGGATGCATATACAGTACATAAGCCTGTAACAGTCACGAGAACTAATACTATATGTTCCAAACTACTTTTTTTCACTACTCCGCTATTCTGCTAGCCTCCCTTAACCGGAGTGCCTTTTGGATGAATGAACAGACTTCAACTCCCAAATATCCCAGTCACTTTGGCTATTGCTGAAAATTCTGAGAAGTGAAGACTATATTCAGGGCAGGACATTTGAGATGGTGATGATATATTCCTTAGTCTTCCCCGCTATCGTCTGCTCCTGTATTTTTACATACAGGGATATAGTGATTTGCTAAAATCTCAAACTTCAACTATAAACCTCTACTATACATTGGATCCATAGTGACTCTGAGGTCACCCGTCTACTCTTTTAATATAATGTGTGATTGATGCCAGCTTAATACCTGTTTAGGTTAGAACAACTTTCTCAGGCAGATTTTTTTTTCCTTGATCATGTTTTTCTCTTGAATAACTCTAATTTGACTTTACAGATCCTTGGATTTGACAGGTCCCTTGTTACTGGGTGGCATTCCTGACCTTCCTGAGAGTTTCCCAGTACGGAATCGGCATTTTATAGGTTGCATGAGAGACTTCCTGATTGATAATCAAGATGTAGACCTGGCTGACTTCATTGCAAATAATGGAACTTTGCCTGGTATGATGAATTCAGGAGGAAATTGAAAGTTTGCTCAAATAGTGGGGTTTCTGTGGATGGAAATTGGCAAACTACCTATTGAGAACACCTGAGCAGGCCCTAGCCATTGTCTGCAGTATAACATATCCATAGGGATGACTTTCATTCATGACTTAGCTCCTCATTACTCGGTAGCAAATTCAGCAAACATTTTCCTAATCCCGGGAGAATTTTCTATTACTGTCCTTCCCAGTGCATTCTTACATTCTCTTTTCAGGCTGCTCTGCTAAGAAGAATTTTTGTGATAGCAACACATGTCATAATGGTGGAACTTGCGTCAACCAGTGGAATACTTTCAGCTGTGAATGCCCCCTGGGTTTTGGAGGCAAGGACTGCAAGCAAGGTAAAAGATGGACGCTGCTAAAGAAGGTGCTTTTAAAACAGTGTTTCTCAACCTTGACAATTTTAAGGCATGTGGACTTCAACTCCCAGAATTCCACAGCCAGCATTGCTGGCTGTGGAATTCTGGGAGTTGAAGTCTACATGCCTTAAAATTGTCAAGGTTGAGAAACACTGTTTTAAGGAATGACATATGTGCTAATTGCCAGGAACTATATCAGGAAGTTACACCTTGCCTAGCTCCAAGAAAACAGAAAATATACTATTCTAATTATTAGAAGCAACCGAAGAAAAGGTGGGAATGCTAATCTAGAAATTCTTGGACTGGGACTTGTAGTACTAATAAGTTTTATATATATGAGAACAGGATGTGCTGATCGGTTCTTGCAAATATGTGGGGATCCAAGTAAAATAGAGCTGTTATTTACTTAGCTGCAGAATACAGTTCTCTTAAATACAGTTTCTTCTAAAGTGGTTATGTCACCCAGTACAAATTAGCAAAAATGGCAGCAGTTTAGGCCCTTCTTTAGGGTGGTAGCTCCCACATGTCTGGTTAGTTATAACAAGGAGTGAAAAAAGCACACAAAAAATGGTTGCCCAGGTTCAATCAGAACTAGAGCCACAATGGAATGAAATGGTCTTAAGTGCCTTGTGGAATTAAAAAAAAAGAAAAGAAAAATGCCAGGTATACCTCCACACAGAATATGATCCAAACGATGGGGGTGATCACAGAGAAAGCTGTTGTCTCACCTGTATTCCTACACTTTACAAGAGTAAGAGTACTTTTAATGGATCCTTCCTTGATATTTGGACAGGATGTTTAGAAACAATTCTGATAAGACAATGTCTAATATGTCTTGATGCTACACCATGTAGAGATTTATAGGTGATAATTAACACTCTTTTTTTTTGAAACAAATTTTATTGGTTTTTTAATTCTTAAGACAAAGTGCTTGAGACACACCATGGTGCTGGGGTAATCAAAAATCCAAAAATAAAACATATATAAATAACTCAATCAATACATCAAATATTCCCTCTCTATTTCCCTCAAATAGCTTCATATATTTAAAATAGTCCATTTGATTGAATTTAAAGATAATTAGGATTTGGACAAAATCTCGAAATACTTTAATGTTATGGTATTAGTTTAAATTGAAATTTATTTGTGTAATAGTCAAGTCCATAGGGAAGGTCTATATAAGATTAAGGAATTAAAATAGTATTCAGAATAAATAAAGAAGAAGGTGATTATAGAGGAAATTAAAATAAAATATTGATCTATCCTATGCATATCTAATCCATCCATCAATCAATTGCTTTAAGCTAACAGAGTAATATCAACCTTATTAGACAAAATTCTAATTTCATCCAATTAATTATCATAGCTAATAACATCCATATTATCAAACAAACACACCACCTTGGATAATTAACACTCTTATTGGACTTAAAAACCTAATAACAGTCAATGCAGTATTATTGTGCAGCATTGGGCTGTCCTGACACCAATCTGGCCACCTCATTCTGTACCGGCTGCAGCTTCTGAACCAACTCTAAAGGCAATCCCACCTAGAGTGCAAGTGGTGATCTGGGGGCATGGTTCCATTGTAAGGGCATCTTGATCCAGGTAGGATCATAACTAGGCAAAGCGAGGCAAAGCCACCTATGACCATGGCTTCTGCCTTTTGTTTGAACAAGAGCCACAAGTACAGAAGGATCCCTAATTACAAACTATCTCTTTGGGAGGGAGAAAAACCTTATTAAAAGTAAATCTTAGGACCAGTTTCTGGACTGTCTAGATATTTATTCACATAAAACAACTCCATTAGCTAATGCTCAATCTGAGTATGCCTTGCTCCCTCCGGGGCATGGCATCTGTAGGGTGACATATAACTGCTTAGGTGGGGTGGTGACACCCCACCTAAAGCAATGGATGCCTCTCCCAGGTTTTCATATAAATGTTAAATAATACAAGGAAAGCACAAAACTCAGTAGCACGACACATTAGGGCAACCAAGGGCTTGAATGCTACCCCAGTCAACTAAAACCATTTGCTTAGATAGGAGCGAACCATGGTAACCTGATGCTCCCAACTTCTAGCCCTTGCAAGCAGTCCAAAAGAGTACCATGGTTTATATCAGGGGTCTTCAACCTTGGCCACTTTAAGACTTGCGGACTTCAACTCCCAGAATTCCTCACCCAGCAAAGCTGGCTGAGGAATTCTGGGAGTTGAAGTCTGCAAGTCTTAAAGTGGCCAAGGTTGAAGACCCCTGGTTTATATTGTTGAATGCCATTGAAAGATCCAAAAGAGCCAAGAAAAGTGCACTCTACCCATCCAGATTTCTAAAATAGCTCATTTCCAAAAAGAAGTGTCATTTCTTTTCCTTGCCGGAGCCTGAATCCTGACTGGAAGGGATCTGCATAAGCCATTTCCCATAGGATCTTCTATAATTGGGCCCTCGCCTCCTTGTCAACATCCTTCCCCGTGTTAATAAATAGAAATGTTGACAATTACAAAGTGAGTGTATTGGTTCTCACATTTTTTCAGCACTCAAGAAACCGATAGAGGAAGCTCTAGCAATCCAGCAGAAACTGAGTAAATCATCTTATCTCTTCTTGAACCTTTTATAACAAAACTACAAAAAGGATATTAAAATTGTTTTTCTCCCTCTCTTTATTACATGTGCATAAATATACACATACACACTGTAGAAGGCAATGGCAAGCCAATTATATATAGTTGCCAGAAATGCTAATATGAACACGATCTTGTAGTTACCAGAAGGACCCTCTATTGGAATGGGCTCAAACACCCTCATTTGGTATCTCCAGCCTCAGCAAGGGTGGGTATGGTCCTGCCTATATATCATTTGTACGACAAGAAAATGGAGAGAAAGAATGGACCCCCATAAACCTCCCTATCTAATGCAGGACAATAATACTGAATTCTCTTCTGCTTCTCCAAATGGTACTTACTTTTTGAGGATTTTTTTTTTTAATTGTCATCAGATCATTGATTAGAACTTGGCTGGAATTGTTAAATACTTTCAACCCAAAATGTTGAAGGGACATTATTTTTTTTAAAAAAAGTATATATAAGAATAGTCCACCCACCACACACACACACACACACACACACACACACATACACACACACACACACGATCTGGTGTGCAATATTTTATACTCTTGTTGAACTTTTTTTTCCTCTGGGAAGAAATGGCAAGTCCTCAGCGTTTCTTGGGCAACAGTCTGGTGACTTGGAGCAATTTGGCATTGATCATCACACTTCCATGGCACATTGGACTTATGTTTCGTACTAGGCAGAGCAATGGCGTCCTCCTCCGTGCTGCAGCGGGACAGCATTCTACCATCACACTTTGGGTGAGTAGGCAACACTTTATTATTCTCTTACAGATTAGTGGCCTAGAGAAAACTGCTTTGTGTTACAACAGGGATGGGCATCTTGCAGCCCATGGAGCCTCCCAGCATTCTGAAGATTATCCCACCAACATTTATGGGTAAAATATGTACAGTATATTCTGGAGCACTATTTCAGATGATGGGAGGATTTTAAAATGTGGAGAAGGGTCTATTTTCTCCCAGAGGCTTTCCATTCCACTTGCAGTGGCAGCAAACCGCAAAGGGAGTTATCTCCTCCATGTATCTCTTACGAGCAGGAATAGAACTGTGTACTTTCTAGAGTCTCTTGCTCTACAGAAGCAGCACAAAGGTTGATGAGATGTGGTTTCTAGATCCTTTGCATCATCAGAAGCTTCATGACTTTCTTTGATGCTATGTACTTGTTTCATTATTTTCAAGCCCCCTATGATGGACGGAGATGGGTAGTGCCTTCTTCAGTGAAAACCTGGCTCAAAACTAAACTCATTCTGTTCTTATCTCTTTGCTCAGTTAAATGAAGGCACCGTGCTGATGACTGTGTACCGAGCCAACAGCCAAATTTCAGCTTTGAGGCTACACCAGGTGAAAGTGAATGATGGTGACTGGCATCACCTACAATTGGAGCTGCATAGCAGCTGGGACAATCCAGAAGCCCAGTGGTTAGCCATAATGGCTTTTGATTATGGTTTGCACCAGGTACAGTGAGCATTAGAACTCAATCTGATTGGTCAACTAATTTGGCCTTTATAGAACATCATTCTGTGTATTTCCTAAAGCTTGAATGTAACACTTGTAGCATAATTTCATCCAGGCAAATGAAGCTATCTGTGGGATGGATCTAAATTGATTCCTAGTATTCTAATGCACTTTGTCATTAATCTCTTTGACTAGCCTTACACTTAGGCTCTTTTTCTATTGATTTTGATTTATAGTTAATTAATTCAATAAAATACTTCAGTGTCAGTCTACAGCTATCTTAATAATTTATTCCAGCCCACTTCTTCTTGGCTTTCACGACTGTCCTGATGGTTTATAACATCTGATCTGTATTATACAAATAAGTACTGTGGTCTCAACAAGAAATTAAGGAAAAATGATGTTTGCTTTGCTTGCCTATCCTCCAGGTGATGGCCAATATTAGTAGCGAACTTCGTGGACTAAAAATGCGGAGTTTGAGTATCGGTGCTGTGCTGGGGGAAAAGGGAAACCTGCAGCATGGATTCCGTGGTTGCATGCAGGTGAGTAGGTGAAGAATATACCTTGATGGCCCTTTTGAATGTTATTGGGCATACCATGATGGACGCATCAGGTGCAGGCTCCACCACTTCTTTCAAGTCTTCTTTCTTCGGTGCTTTTTACATAAATGACATATGTTTTGGGAAAGGTAGGCCCAATTGATTAGACCACATCAGTCTTCAGCAAATAACATAACTGACATCCTTAAGAAATTATGTAACTGGGAGCGATTGCTGTGCAGTATGTGTCTGTGTCAGTATATCTATACATATAAATAAATTAGAAGCTGTTCTGTCTGGAAATCAACCAGACAGCAACCAGAACTGTGTACTGATGAGGTCTCATCTTGATTTTGCTGAAAACTGAATGAAGCAAGCATGCTTCTAGGTCCTAGGCCATATCTACTTGATGCAGATCTTAAACAAGAGCAACAACATATGCAGGTGGTCCTTGACTTATGACCACAATTGAGCCCAAAATTTCTGTTGCTAAGTGAGACATTTGTTAAAGGAGTTTTGCCTCATTTTATCACCATTCTTGCCACAGTTGTTAAGTGAATCACTGCAGTTGTTAAGTCAGTAGCATGGTTGCTAAATGAATCTGGTTTTCCAATTGACTTTGCTTGTCAGAAGGTGATCAAACTGCAATTGTCATAAAATTGAGTCAGTTGCCAAGCATCTGAATTTTGATCACATGACCATGGGGATGCTGCAATGGTCATAAGTGTGAAAGTTGAAAATCATTTTTTTCAGTTCCATTGTAACTTTGAACCATCACTAAACGAACTGTTGTAAGTTGAGGACTACCTGTAGCATACAATTCACAATTCTATCACTGTATTGTTTTTCACTTTTCCCACTTAATATTTATTTATTTATTAAATTTATATACCGCCCTATCTCCCTTATGGGACTCAGGGCGGTGAACAGGCGATACTAAAAAACCACAATAATAAATAAATAGTTTCTGTGCTAAAATCAAATTAAATAACAGGCCTGTTCTAAAAACACCCCATACAAAACCCCCACTAAAACATAATCAAACTACGCCAGGCCAGCCGCACGGAATAGATGGGCCTTCAGGGCTCGGCGAAAAAGGCGCAGGTCCGCAATTGTAGGTAGGTCGGGGGGTAGGTCATTCCAGAGGGCAGGAGCTGCCACAGAGAAGGCTCTCCCCCTGGGGGTCGCCAGCCGGCATTGTCTGGCCGACGGCACTCTAAGGAGGCCCTCTCTGTGGGAGCGGACTGGTCGAAGGGAGGTGTTTGGTAGGAGGCGGTCTTACAAATACCTAGGTCCATTGCCATGGAGTGCTTTAAAAGTTGTTACTAACACCTTGAAGCGCACCCGGAAGGCCACCGGCAGCCAGTGCAGCTCGCGCAGGAGAGGTGTTACATGGGAGCATCTAGAGGCCCCCAAAATCCCCCGCGCAGCCACATTCTGAACTAGCTGGAGCCTCCGGGTGCACCTTAAAAGGAGCCCCATGTAGAGAGCATTGCAATAGTCCAGGCGGGAAACAACGAGGGCTTGAGTGACTGTGCGTAGGGCGTCCCGATCCAGAAAGGAGCGCAACTGGCATATCAGATGAGCCTGATGAAAAGCCCCCCTGGCCACGGCTGTCACATGATCGTCTAAAGACAGCCGAGCATCCAGGAGGACGCCCAGGTTGCGGGCCCTCTCCGCGGGGGCTAATGACTCACCCCCGATAGCCAGAGATGGAACCAACTGGCTATGACGTGACGCCGGAAACCACAGCCACTCGGTCTTGGACGGGTTGAGACGAAGCCTGTTCCTCCCCATCCAGACTCNACTGATGAAACTCCACCCCGAAACCACGGATGATCTCACCCAGTGGCTTCATATAAATGTTGAACAGGAGAGGCGAGAGGACCGACCCCTGTGGTACCCCACAAGTGAGGCGCCTCGAGGTTGACCTCTGCCCCCCTGCCAACACAAATTGCATCCGGTCCGAGAGGTAGGAGGAGAACCACCGTAAAACAGTGCCCCCCAACCCCCCTAACCGGTGCAACAAGATACCATGGTCGATGGTATCAAAAGCCGCTGAGAGGTCTAACAGGACCAGGATAGAGGAACAGCCTCTATCCCGAGCCTCGTAGGCTGAGTATATAGCATCTTAAATTTGATGAATACTGGAACAAACTCTATTTATGCAGATGTGTCAAGTATAAACTCTATTTTAAGCAATGCAGCACCATCTAGGGGCTGCAGATCTCATAGTTGGCTTATTTATTTAAATGATATTTATATTTTCTTTTGGGTTCCTAAAAGTCGGTTGGTTTAAATAGGCTGTAAAGCAAGGAATGAATGTACAGAAGAATCATCTATTTATCTAAGAGTTAATCTTCTCCTTCCTTGTTTTTTTTTTGCTTGGATCCTCCAGGGTGTAAGGATGGGTGAAACGTCAGGCAGCGCTATCACCTTGAATGTAAACCAGGCTGAGAAAGTGAATGTGGAGTATGGCTGCAGTATCCCAGACCCTTGTGACTCCAGTCCCTGTCCTCTCAATAGCTACTGCAATGATGATTGGGATAGTTATTCATGCAGTTGTGATCCAGGTTAGTGTGATTATAATGATGTAGAAGACTCCTTATTACGGTTCTTAGGCTGCCTAGAATTGCATACCATAAAATGGGCTACCATATAAATTTAATATATACATATATTTTTTAAAAATCCTCTAAAACAGCTCTAACCATGCTGCCTAGTGTTTAGGTATAGTCCAGCGGTGTCAAACTGCCAGCCCGTGGGCCGAATGCATCATAGCGAAACCGTGCCCACCCCATTGCCAGGAATGGCAAAAAAGTTGCGATACGTCGCAACATGTCACGTGACGTTGCGAGTTTGACACCCCTGGTATAGTCCAACATATCTGGAGGGCACCAAGTATTTGCCATGTATGATATGTAAATGGGCTTAGCTGTTGTAAATAATACCTAGATCGTATTCAAAGCATTATTTTTAGTTGAATCAGAGCTTAAAATAGTGCTATTGAAGCACTGATAACAAAGTTTTAATAATTTATTATGATTTATTCTGATTAATCTTGATTTGATAGAAAGATATGTTATAAATTTACTCTATTTTGACTATTCTTCCTTACTTTAGTTCATCTGTACAATATATATGGACTTTCCATGCCGTTTCCTTTAATCCTATATAGTTTGTTTTTGACAGTTTCCTTAATTAAATAACTAATATGCCCCAAAATTAAGATTGTTATCTTAGCATAATGATTGAAATAACATGAACTATATTTACATAATTCACAGTAGTAATATTTAGGCATTGCACTTGATTAGGATAATATACAAAACATAACAACTACCAGAAATAAACAATTTTTATTTCATTATTTAGTACTTCAGACTGAGGTTGGGCCAGAAGCCAATATTCTTGCTAGGGATTGTATTATTATTTTTTTTAGCCTATTTCAGCTTTTCATTGTTTTATTAAAAAGTTAAAATAAAAGTAGGTGGTTGAGTAAGCACAAAGGTCTCTATAACAGAGCAGACAGACCAGACAGGATAGGAGCCATGTTGGTTTCTATCTTTCCAGCCACCCCTCCCACACGTAGCCTTTAGCTCGGTTATGATTGGAGAATGATTATCCCAGAATCTCTTGCTTGGCTGTGCTATCTTTTAGTCTCAGGTTAGAGATTATTGCCAGAGTTATATCCAGAAATCTTCCTGTGGTGCTCAGGTTACTATGGAGACAGCTGTGCCAACGTCTGTTCCTTTAATCCTTGTGAGCATCAAGCCATATGTATCCGCAAGCCCAGCTCATCCCATGGCTACACCTGTGAGTGTCCCGACAGCTATTTTGGACCATACTGCGAGAACAAGTGAGTCTGTAAAAGTTCATTTACATTTGTGGTTATGTGTCTGTTAAGTGTGTGTTGGTACTTTTCAGTATTTACAGAATTGAAATGCGGAAGTGCTGGATGCATAGTGCAGATATTAATAGAAATCTTAGGCATTTGCATCTGGATGTAAATGTGCAAATAAAAGGTCAACCTAAATGTGTGTGTAACAACAGTTCATGTATGGGAGAGGCATGAATGTAGGGACATTGACTTGCATATACAGTGTATATACTATACATAATTAACATACCATGATTGATGTACGTGTGCATGCCAACCAAGGAAATTACTTCAAATAATGTGATTTATAATACAAATCAATACAAATTGTGGAAATCTGAAAAAAAATCCCAACATATCTTTAGTTATTGTCTCTTTACTGAAGGCTTGTAAATTATGAAAGCCTTCATATGCAAAGGAATGGAAGATCTTAGAAAAGACAATACCATAATTTGTAATGAAGAAGTTACTATAATCTTCTACTATATTTGACAGGTGCTTACAACAGGCCTTGTGTTTTCATTGTTAGGTTCGCTCAGCCCTGTCCCCGGGGATGGTGGGGGCATCCTATATGTGGCCCCTGCAACTGTGATGTTGATAAAGGATTTGACCCTGACTGCAACAAAACTAATGGAGAGTGTCACTGCAAGGTGAGTTTTGGATTATTTATCTTGTTAAAGGTAGAAACAGTTTCTGTATCTGAATTGATATTTTATTGCTATTCATTGTTTTAATAGCTTGGCTATTAAACATTTGGCCTTCAATAACTTTAACAAATAAATTTGTCTACCAAGGAAAGTTATGACACACCAGACAAAAATTTGAATATCTTTGTGTGTACAACGTATTTTGCTTTTTTCCAACTATTAATTTGCTGTTTCCCAGACCAATAATTATATTTTTTATTATACCAGTTAGTTTATTTGTTTGCTTTTATGCATTTTTTGGGATTTTATGTGAGTTATCTTCAGCTTGAGGAATTTGGTGAGGTAAACGTTAAATAAATAATGGTTCAACATCCTTATAATTAGTTTTAACAATCAATATTCATAAAAAATTGTCTGAACATTATTTGAATATAGCCATAATATTAGCCACATATTTTCCCTCCAGATAACACTGTTAATGGAAATCAAATGTTTCTGACTTGCTCCCAATAATGCAGAGGCAGTAAAGGCAGAGTGTGCTGGTGCTTGTTGCTTCTCATAAGCATCACACTTAACCATTACTTGGTATGACATGTGCATATGGTCACTCAAAGTAATACAGAGTTGGATTTGACATATTTGATAGAAATCTTGATAGTATCTTAGAAAATCCTGTCCTTTTTGAGTGTGCAAGCAAACTGTTGAAAATTTAATAGGAAACAATATATCTGGTAAAGGTCTTGGATTGGCCAAGAGGTATGATTCATATATGATTATTATGACAAATAAAAAAATGGACAGAGGTCTCTCTCTGCTATTCTACAGGAAAATCACTACCATCCAGCAGATAGTGCCTCATGTTTCCTCTGTGACTGCTACCATACCGGCTCATTGTCTCGCACCTGTGAATCTGAGACTGGGCAGTGCTCCTGCAAGCCAGGTGTCATTGGGCGCCGCTGCGACCGCTGTGACAATCCTTTTGCAGAAGTTACCATCAGTGGTTGTGAAGGTCAGAAATACTCCATGGGCAGGAAGCATAACTGAAGCACTTTGGATTAGGTCACATTTGTCTACCGCAGACTGCAACCTTAGCTGATCCCAAAGAATGCAGTAGGGTTATAATTGATTGGGATATGAATGGTAGGCCACCAGGAAACCCTAGCAATAGACAAGATTGGGGGTGGTGGTAAAGAAATCTTGGAAAAACGCAATCACAGACCACCTTTGTGCTACTTCAGAAAAAGTGTACTTGGATATATCTGTGAAGTTAACGGAAGACAAAGTCAAGCTTGATTCAAAGGAAAGTTTGCTTTATCATGCCCTTACTTTTGATCACCAATTTTCTGAACTATAAAGCGCCCAGCCATTAAAGGGGATAATAACAATGCAACTATCGCATTGATTCATGTGATTCATACAAATTGGATTTCTTGGGGGTGAATTGTTGTTTTCTATATGACCAGAGTGCATTCTTACCCTCTGATTTCTATATATGCAATTTATTTCCAAAGCAAGTATTTGTAAAAATATTAAGTCTTGATTACCTTCCCTTTTAAGTATGCTTGCTGAAAAGAGCACTCTGAGGTTGCATAGGGTAAATTACTACACACAGACTCTTAGTATTTTTTCTTGCAGTGAATTATGATAGTTGCCCACGTGCCATTGAAGCTGATATTTGGTGGCCACGCACCCGCTTTGGTTTGCCTGCAGCTGCACCTTGTCCTCGGGGATCTGTAGGTAATGAAATATTTTTAAGAATGCAGTCATGTACATATAGTAATCAATTGAGTTATTAAATGGTCTTTAGATGCTTCCAGATAAAGGATTATTTAGTTATCCTACTTTGTTGACGATTTGTTATAGGTGGCCAAAGAAAGTAGTCTTCCTCAAATAGGTATCCTATGGTTTTCTAGCCCTCATCATTAAAAAAAAAATCTTGGATATGGAGTAAACGTTACAGTGTATGTTACAGAGTTTTTCTCTCTGCTTGGAGCACTTTTTGTGTCAGCCATACTCTCCTCTTAGCATCATGCCAATGTGATTTGTGTCTGGAAAAGAATATTCCACATTATAAAAAGGAAAATACAAGTACAATCCAATTCTTCTCTGTTTGAGAGACATATGTTTAAAATGTTTCAATAAGAAAGAAAGAGAAAGAAAGAAAAAAAGAAAGAAAGAAAGAAAGAAAGAAAGAAAGAAAGAAAGGGAGAGAGGGAGGAAAGGAAGGAAGGAAGGAAGGAAAACCTGAGCAAGCTAATATTCGTAGTATTTGGTTTTGTGAGCTAAGTTTCACATTGTGGGCACTTTTCCCATAAACTATTTTCCTCCTCCTCCTCCTCCTCCTCCTCCTCCTCCTCCTCCTCTCCACAGGGACTGCTGTACGGCACTGTGATGAACACAAGGGCTGGCTGGCACCCAATCTCTTCAACTGCACCTCACTGACTTTTGCTATTCTCAAGGACTTTGTAAGTACTTATCTTTCATTTTTCCTGGTCCAGAGCAAAGCCAGGAATCTATGGATTTAGTCCCTTCTATATGTATGAATAAATGCAAATAGTTTATTTTTATTTCATCAAAATTCTCAAAAGCAATGGCTGTTTGATATGGCTCTTTGTCCTTACTCAAGTTGGTTTCATTCATAGAATCCCCAGTCCTGCCAATTACCATTCCTTGCCTATAAGCCAGGGAGGAAATATTGACTCTCTTCCTAAGTTGTTTCCCAATGAACTTGTGGAGACTGAGCCTGCATTATTGTAAAAATAGAAAGACAGCAGCTTTCTCAGGACCACTTCCCCTTATTGTCTGGATTGATGAATGGAATGGCAATATGAATTGTCTTTTAACAAAGAATTACAAGGAGACCTAGATTGCCAATTGCTTCATGCATTAACCATTTATTATTTATTTTTACTTATTAAATTTGTATGTCACCCATCTCTTATGAAGAGACTCTTGGAAGGTTTAAAGTTACATCTGAAGTTACAGTGGTACTAAAAAAAACTTTGTGAGAAGACATATTTACAACTTTCACAGTGTATCTCTCTCTCAATCAGTTAGTACATGTTATCCTGTGCCTGGCCCATTTTTTTTCCTCTTCACAGAGTGGGGAGATTGCTTAAACAAACTATCTCTTCATGAGTTGCTTTTCTTTAAGTGCTGGCAGCTGCTGCCTGTAACCAATAAGATTTCCATCATTTTTATTTTTGGCTACTTCAGCTGGTATAATCCTCACATTTTCAGGTTATTTTTTTTAGCTCTGGGACTAAAACTTGAAGGAAGAGATTTTCAGAATTCTGAAATTCTATGATGGAAAGCATTTAAGGATATAATTGAGATTTTTCTTGGCAACTACAAAGCACCAAACTACATTCAGTTGGTTGACAAACTTCTTACAGCATACAACACCATGAAGTGCAATGTGTTACTGAAGATTCATTTTTTGCATTTACACTTCTTTCCCAAAAATCTGTCAATGATGAACATGGTAAAAGGTTTCACCAGGACATTGTCAAAATAAAAAAATGGTATTAGGACCACTGGACTCCATCAGTGCTGGCTGACAACTGTTGGACGTTGCAACAAGGTGCATCAGACACTGACTACAAATGAAAATCAGCAGCAAAACTTTTAGACCTCTTGCAGCATGTCAGAATCTTTATGCAGTTAAATACATTATAATAATAATTAAAAGTTAATTTCATATTTTTCAAGACTACGTGATGCAGTCATTCTGAAATTATATTTGTGCTCAGTTTGAAGGGGTCTATCATAATCACCAAAAGTTTTTTTTCAGAAAGCAAAACTTTTGAAAAGAATTGTTGTCCAGTAGAATCTGTGTTTGGTTAATTTACCTTGTTTTGTTGAAGCACCTTTGCAGAATATCTTAATCTTTCCTGTGAACAGGCAGAAAGATTGCTGCGGAATGAATCATTTTTGGATACAGAGCAGTCTCAGCGGGTAGCTCTCCAGCTTCGCAACGCTACACAAAACACTGAGAGCTTCTTTGGCAGTGATGTCAAAGTAGCTTTTCAGCTCTTAGCTCAGCTTCTGAAACATGAAAGCAACCAAGAAGGCTTTGGCTTGGCTGCTACCCAGGATGTTCACTTCACTGAGGTAAGCCCATCAGCTCAGGTTTATATGAAGTAGAAACTCTTGTCAGCACACACACTTTTTAAGCAAGCAAGCAGGTTTGACACCAGGGTTTCTTTGGTGATACCAGACGTTGATCTGATCTGATGATATTAGGCTGGTCTACTCTTTAGAGCAGTGCCCCCTAACCTTTTGGGCACCAGGGACCGCTCTGTGGAGAGAGGTTTTTTCGTGGACCAGAGGGGGCATGATTTCACGTGCTGCCTGCATCCCATGGATGGGGCTTCACTTGTTTGCATGGCCCGGTTTCTGGCATGCCGGTCCACACACTGGGGGTTGGGGACCCCTGCTTTAGAGCCTGGGAATATGTAGAGCACTACGTGGCTTAGTGGAAGAGAACTGGCAGATATTCTGTTGCATCTCTCAGGGGAAGCAAGTTGTCTGGTGCTTTCACTGATACTTAAAGGAGGAACAAATCTGTTTAGCTCAGCTGGGCATTATGGAAGGAATGACAACTGACAAATTATTCTTCATCCTAAATGATTAAAATCTGATCTACAAGTGTTTTAAATAAAAATAAAATCAATAAAAAATAAATGCCACAAAGCCTGTTAGTTCTCCAGTGAAGATTATTTTCTTAATAAATGTTAAATGTTTGTTAAAAGGCACACACATTGTAAAATGTTCCCTGCAAAAACTATCAGCAATGAATATCCTTTTGCCATGGATTCTTGTAACTCTTTGGCCTTCCTGTAAATGCAACAGGATCCCCTTGAAGCAAGCTGTTACTTTAGCTTTGTCATCAGAAGCTACTCCTAGCTGTCTTATATTCTTTTTTTGTGTCCTACAGAATTTGCTTAAGGTAGGCAGTGCTTTATTGGACAATAGCAACAAGCGTCACTGGGAACTGATCCAACAGGCAGAAGGTGGCACAGCGCAGTTGCTCAGACACTTTGAGGACTATGCAAGCATTCTGGCCCAGAACATGCGCAAGACGTACTTGAACCCATTCACCATCATCACACCCAACATTGGTGAGAGTATAATAATAATAAGGTCTCTTAATTAGCAAAATAATATTTGTTCAATTCTATGCATTTTAGATAATTATATAGTGGTATGTTAGTACTCAACTTCTTTAAAACTCATCAAGTTTGGTACTCAATGCATTTTGACATGATTTTTCCCCCCAGTATTCATTGTTCATTTGGTACTCAATGCACAAGCTAGAACTTGTTCATGTCAGCTGCCTTGTGACACATTACATTATTTCTTATTGGAAAAATTTGTTTGGTACTCATTGTTTTTGGTACTCATCGCTCCTCCCAGAACCAATTAAGAATGAGTACCAAGGTACCACTGTACTTGCAGTAGATTAATCTGCATATGAATAACAACAATGATAAATGAAAGAGATTTTTATTATTATTATTGATCAGTGCACAGTCAGCCAGATGTTCAGACTGGATTTGGCATTTTTGTCTACCTATCGAGTCCTTATCAAGGACCTGGGATAGGCAGATGTGGATGTTTGAATTGATGGTATTACAGATATCGTCACAGTATGGAAGCTGTTCCTAGTAAGGCCGCCTTTTGCAATTGACTAATGGCGAATTTGTCAATGCCAGTGGTATCCAAGTGGTGTTCCAGTTGTTTTGGGATTGCACCCAAGGTGCCTATTACTATTGATAATATCCTTGCTTGCCTTTGCCACAGTCATTCTATTTCTATTTGTAGGTCTTTGTATTTTGTTATCTTCTCTGCTGTCTCCAGGTACTGCCACATCCACTATCCAAACTTTTTTTATCTTTCTTATTGACAATTGTTAAGTCTGGGGTGTTATGTGGCAGGTGCTTGTCTGTTTGAATTCTAAAGTCCCAGAGCAATTTAACATTTTCATTTTCTATGACTTTCTCTATTTTATGGTCCCACCAGTTCTTGCTTATAGGCAAATGATATTTCTTGCAGATCTTCCAATGCACCATTGTTGCTACTTTGTCATGCCGCTGCTTGTAGTCAGTCTGTGCAATCTGCAGCAGCTTACCAGGTGGTCCACTGTTTCTTCAGCTTCTTTGCATAGGCAGCACTTACTGTCTATTGCTGTCTTCTCAATGTTGACTTTGTATGCATTTGTCCTTAAGGCTTGGTCTTGTGCAGCCAGAATTAGTCCCTTGGTCTCTTTCTTCAACTTTCCTGCTCTTAGCCATTGCCAGGTCTTGTTATTATTTGATTTCCAAGCTATCTTTTTAATGTACTGGCCATGTAATGCTTTGTCTTCCCATGCCTCCATTCTGTTCTTCATTTGGACTTTCTTGTAGGCTAGTTTGGTCTCTCCAGTAGTCAGTAAGCCTTTCTGATATACTAACTTCAGTGCATCTTCATCATTGTCCTTCAGATATTCTTCCAAAGCCATTTTTTCTTCTTCAACCATCTGAGGTACTTGCAACATTCCACGCCCACCTATTTGCCTTGGTAGATAGAGTCTGTCAATGTCACTGCGTGGATGAAGGGCATGATTCATTGTCATTATTTTTCTGGTCTTCCTATCCATTGCTTTTAGTTCTGCTTGAGTCCAGTCCACTATTCCAGCTGTGTATCTAATGACTGGAATTGCCCAGGTGTTGATTGCCTTCATGATATTTCCTCCATTGAGTTTGGACTTTAAGATCTTCTTCACTCTCTTGATGTATTCACCTCTAATCTTTTTCTTGACTTCAGTGTGCTTGATGTTGTCAGCTTGAAGGATACCCAAGTATTTGTAATAATCTTCCTCATCCAGACTCTTAATATTATTTTTGTGGGGCATCTGGATTCCTTCAGTTTTCACTATTTTTCCTTGTTTGATAGTAAGTGTGGCACATTTGTCCAAGCCAAACTCCATTGTAATATCTTGGCTATATATATGGACAGTGTTGAGCAGTGATTCTATTTCAGATAATGTTTTTCCATACAGCTTCAGATCATCCATGTAAAGGAGGTGGGATAGTCTGACATGTTTTTGATGTTTGATAGCCATGATATTCAGTATTGTTGACAGAGGAAACTGCAATATTTGTGTTGTTGTTGTTATTGTTATTATTATTACTATTTAGTGTGTCATGAGAATATGATAGAAGAGAAGTAAATATACATATACTGTCCATGTAATGATAAGTAACTCTTCTAGGGGGTATGGCAGTGGCCTCATAACTGGATGTCCAATTCAGCTATCTAGGCAATCGCCTCTGGCATTTCTTCATGCAGATCTTCTAGGAAACCAGAGAACCCATGTCATGGACAACTTTGCACAATATGCATATCAGCACCTCCGTCCCAACAAGGGGAATCTTTCCATCCCCACTGATACAAGGCCCAGGAACGTCTTCCAGTATCACACCTAGCTCTGTTCAATTTCGACCAGACAAAGAGAAGCAGGTCAAAACTAGGTGGTTTGGTAGAGGGATCACTAATTGTCAGGCCACAAGCAGGTACCTTGGACTATTCCTCTCCCCACTCCCCACTTGGGGTTAACCTGCGTAGATGTTAAGTGATGTTTTTCAAGCTGGCCTATGGGATTTCAGTCAATTCAATGAAAAAGGTAGCTTGTCTTTATATATATACAGCTGAAGCACACATTTGTTTTTTTGCAGGCTCCATCTTGGAAAAGGTAGTCTCTTGCAAATTTGGGAGTAAGAAGCTTGCTACCAATTTCTATAAGTTCTTATATTTGAATAATCAACTATAATTTGCTCTAAACACTACCTAAATGCTATGAAATTCTGGTAGAAATACAAATTTATTTATCAAAAGGATTTAAATTAATTATTTAACTAAATATTGAACACAGTACTGAACTGTCATGCTTTTTAAACAGGCATTATAGCTCTTTTCCTATACTATCCCCATAAATGTCAAATAATTCCAAGATACACCTAGAATATTATCTGAAAATGAATGATAGGGAGCTGAAATGAGGTTTCTTAATTTCGTTTAGTTAATTATTGGCTAATTATGGGCCTGTGATTTCCCCCATTCACAAATCATATTAGCATAGCTGTGAGACACAGCACCTCCAGGAATTGTTGCTAAACTAGGGTATACTGGTGTGGTGGCATTGCATAATGCATTGCCTTGTGATTCCTCCATTAATTTATTTAACATAGTAATTAAGCAACTACCACCATAACAAAATTATTTGTTATTATGAGTGTCTTTCCCTGCCCTGGGCAAAAATATTTCATTGCATCAGTTGATGATGAGTGGGCATATTCTGGAAATAATGTTTCATTATTGCTATTATGAGATAATTTGAAAACTAATGCGTTTGTTGCTTTGGTCTGGGTATATAGTTAGGCCTTATGACAGTATGTGGAGATAAATGAAAGGGACATAAATGCTAACTCAAAAACATCCACTTCTGAGTGAAAGTTATAAATAAAATAGTCCAACTGGACACTGCCACTCAGTTGGCTTGAAGCATCATGGCTCGTGTGTGTGTATGTGGGTCTCTATCTATCTGTATCTTACATTGGCAGTTATTTCGGTGGTGAGGCTAGAGAAAATGAACTTTGCTGGCGCCAAACTGCCCCACTATGAGACACTCCGCGGTGAGAAACCTGCAGACATAGAAACTACTGTCATCCTGCCTGAAAGTGTGTTCAAGGCTCCAGAAGGCAAACGTGAGTTCTGGGCATGGGGGTGAAAATTCCTGTATTGGAAAAAGAAGAGGAATTGATTGATACAATTCCTCTTTGGCAATACAACCAGTTCTTTTATCTGGGGTATGAGTGATAGAGAAGCATTAACACAGAAACATGTCATTTACTGTATAATACTCTGAGTATTGGTCAGAATACACAAGATTGGCCTGATTAGATCTTTTCTTTAGCCAATTGGCCTTTTCCTGAAGTCGTATATGACACTTCCAAAGTTCTTAATTGACTGGGTTTATTTAGTAAGCTAAGCTGTAGAATATTTACCAAGTTTCACTGAATACAACAGAATTGGTAGTACACTAAAATAAATTACATTATGGCTTAGTGCAATGTGGAAACCCATCCGTTCTATCCAATGGTGGGATTCAGCCAGTTCGCACCAATTCAGCAGAACCGGCAGCTAATTTTTTGTTGCCCAGACCCAGAACGGAAGGGGCATCCATACAGAGAACCGGTTGTTCACATACAGTATTTGAATCCCACCACTGGTCCTATCCTTACCACCATGTGTTCTGACAAATAAGCTTCGTGTGTTATGTAACAAACATAGGAATTTATTTTGAGGCTTCATAGTTTCCTGGATGGTTCAATGTAATTCAGTGCTGAATACTGTGAACAAGACTAAATTACACATGAAGTTGAGTTCCTATTATCTTTCCTTGTAAAGGAAAGCTACCAATGGGAAGCTGAAGTGGAAAACAGAGACCAAAAGAAGGAAGTCTTGTTAATATTTCCTTTCCTGTTACACAGCATGTCAATTCCAAAAATTCTTATTTCCTATGTATGAGAGAATGGGAAGAGGATATATTTGTCATGAGGGACAACTTCAGGCCCTGACAAATAGGATTATGGGTGTTATCAAAATTACCAATCTGAAAAGAACAATAGTGGAGTTAGCATAGTAGATCAAAATGATGTCAGGAGTAATTTAATATTGTCTTTGTTGGGCCAGGCAAGGAAGGGACAAGGCAAGAGCAACAAAGTTGTAGTTTCAAGTAGCAGACAAACCAGGAGAATTGGGATGGCCCTAGTATGCAGACAGCTTCTAATAACTTGTTAGAAGGGAATGGTGGTCTTATGTCATGGTGGTCTAATGGTGATCTAATTATCTGCTGACATAAGTTCATAAAACATAGACATAGACATAGACATAAAGTCGTAGGGTTGGAAAGGATCTTGGAGGGTCTTCTCATCCAACTCCAGGGCAGGAGACCTTATACCATCTTGAACAAATTGTTGTCCAATCTTTTCTTGAAAATCTCCACTATCTCCTGAAAAAAATGTTACCTGTTCATGCCCTTTAGGTTCTTTTTTGTTTTCCCAAACAAGCAGACTACAAATATTGGAAACAAATATTAGTGAAACCTTGTTTAGCCTGTTGCTCTAGCAAAATAAAATGTGGCTCCATGTTTCATGTTCACTTTTCAGAATCTTCGGTGGCTAGTGCCAAGCATTTGCCAGGCACCAATGAGGAAGAAGAACCTGCCCTTATGACAAGACAGAAGAGACATCCAGATCTAAGTGAGGGCCAGGCCATTGCTAGCGTGATCATCTACCGCAACCTGGCAAGTCTGCTTCCAGAGCAGTATGACACAGATAAAAGGAGTCTAAGGTAATGCCTGCATCATACCTCGATGCAGAAAATGTATTAGTAGAGGGTTTACATACACAATGTTTGTGTTTTATTCCAATTCTCCATGTTGTTTATTGAAAAGGTTATTGAAATTCCAATAGCTATTGTTACAAATAATAATAATAATGATAATGATGATGATGATGATGATGATGATGATGATGATGATGATAATAATAATAATAATAATAATAATAATAATAATAATAATAATAATAATAATAATAGTAATAATAAAGTTGGAAGGGACCTTGGAGGTCATCTAGTCCAACCCCCTGCTCAGACAGGAAACCCTACACCATTTCAGACAAATGGCTGTCCAGTCTCTTCTTAAAAACTTCCAGTGCTGGAGCATTCACAGCTTCTGGAGGTAGGTTGTTCCACTGGTTAATTGTTCTAACTATCAGGAAGTTTCTCCTTAGTTCTAGGTTGCTTCTCTCCTTGATTAGTTTCCATCCGTTCCTTCTTGTCCTGCCCTCAGGAGCTTTGGAGAATAGCTTGACTCCCTCTTCTTTATGGCAGTCCCTGAGATATTGGAACACTGCTATCATGTCCCCCCTCATCCTTCTCTTCGTTAAACTAGACATACTGGCTGTTGTTATTTGCCTGGCTGACTTTGCCTAGTTTTAGAAACTAAGCAGGACATATCCTGGCTAGTACTTGAATGAGAGACCACTAAGGAACACCAAGATTGGGAAATTGAAAAAATATCCTCTAAAACAATTGCAAACCTCCGTCTGTAGTATTGCTAAAAAAAAGGATATCTGTGTAATCATTAAATCTCCAAGAGTCACGCTTGATTTGAAAGAGATTTTATTTTATTTGAAGACCTGTCAAATTCTGAAGACACTAAATGGGAGAAGGTTGGTAATCACAATTTAACTTTACAGGAGGCAAACAGTGATTTAAGTAAATATATTTTATTGATCTCTGTGTTAAGGGCCCTGTCATTTGGCTTTACTATAAGTTGATTAATCATCATGGCTGCTGTTTGTACTTTGTGTGGATGTTTTTATTGTTTTAATGCTTTTTAATTATTAATTAATTTTAGAATTGTAAGCCGCTTAGAGTCACTTGGTTGAGTTGAGCAGCTATAGAAATTTGAATGAATGGATAGATGGATGGATGGATGAATATATGAATAAATAAATGCCCTGTTGTCGTCACAGAGTCCCCAAGCGTCCTATCATCAACACCCCAGTGGTGAGCATCAGCATCCATGATAATGACGCATTGATGCAACGCGCCCTTGAGAAACCCATCACTGTGCAATTTCGGATGTTGGAAACTGAGGAGCGGACCAAACCCATTTGTGTTTTCTGGAACCACTCCATCCTGTGAGATTTATTTCCCAGGCAAAATGTCTGGGATTGCCACATAATGAACATGGAGGGAGCAATAGATATTGGGAGCGGGGTTCCTCAAGGCTGACAGCTCCATCTTGACTCTGCTGTTTTTCAGGGTCAGTGGGACTGGTGGCTGGTCAGCTAAAGGCTGTGAGGTTGTCTTCAGGAATGAAACCCATGTCAGCTGCCAGTGTAACCATATGACAAGCTTTGCTGTGCTGATGGATATTTCCCGCAGAGAGGTGAGAAAAATAAGGACCCTACTTTGAGAATAGGAGAATAGGGCAAGGGGGAATTTTGAAGAGAGCATAACATAGTAACAGAAGTTAGGCTTTGGCTTCTTAAGGATGGTAGACTCCTAGGGCCGAGAACAGGTATTTGGGCCATCATGTATGCCCCCTGCTCACTGCTGGAACTCAAGACAAATAGCTTTTTAGCCTCTGTTTGAACACATTTAGTAAAGGGAAATAATTGATTCCACAGTCAAATTGCTCTTGCTTTTAGGGAGACCAAATAATAAGATGCATGGGTATCCATTAATAAATTGTCTGTTCCTCACAGAATGGTGAGATCCTACCCCTGAAGACGATCACATATATCTCCATTGCTGTGACATTGGGCAGCCTCCTGCTTACTTTCCTCTTCCTGGCTGGATTGCGAACTCTGCGATCTAACCAACAAAGCATCCGCAAGAACCTAGTCATCGCACTATTTTTTTCTGAACTCGTCTTCCTACTGGGCATCAACCAGGCTGACCTGCCAGTAAGCATCTGTGTGGGTGGGAGAGAAAAGTCAAGGAACTCTGCTAAAAAGATCAAGTTCCTAGTCACTGTCACATCTAGTATTAAGTATCAATACAACAATTACTATCTGTTGCTAATGATACCCCACTCCTCCCCAACAAATCACACAGGGTTATCCAGCATCTGTGCATCCTCTTTGTTTGGGTGCCGTTGAGATGCCAAGAAAACTGCCTTAAATTAATAGCAGCAGCTCCTGAAAATGTGAATCAAAGACAGGAAAATATCCTATCTGAATTCTGAATATACAGTGAAATGGTTCATTACGTTTTGGGTTTTGTGCACATTGGGAACAGGTTTCTAATCCTGCTCCTTTGTCTCTTTCCATGATAGTTTGCCTGTACTGTCATTGCCATCCTGTTGCACTTTCTGTACATGTGTGCCTTTGCCTGGGCATTGCTAGAAGCATTGCATATTTACCGCATGCTGAGTGAAGTGCGAGACATCAACTATGGCCCTATGCGCTTCTATTATATGGTTGGATGGGGTGTGCCAGCATTCATCACAGGTGAGGCCCGCACTAAACATCATAAAATCCGGTATACAGGCATGGACATTCTGAGGCCATTCTACCCTTTGTGAACCTTATTCCATTCAAAAGAAAACAGCTTATTTTATTAAAATAAAGCGGTTCCTTCCTCTGCTAGCTTTATAACAGGTAACTGAATCAATTTAAGCAGGATATAACTGGCCTAGCCTAAAGATAGGGCTGGAGTGCATTGGACTTTTAAAATTAATTATTTTTTATTTATTACAAAATTTAATTTGCTGCCCATCTCGTGTCCAATGACCCTGGGCGGCTTAAAACATAAAAAACATTAAAATAATCAATTATAAAATAACAAAGAGGGTAAAATCATTAACACAAGATGGTGAAGGAGGGAGACAGATACATGGGGGAGGGGGAGGTAGGATTAGGTTTTAATTAGTCAACCACCTCCAGTGTGAAGCTCCCCATTGGTCCCCCAAACCACCTAGCACAGTGATGGCGAACCTTTTAGAGACCGAGTGCCCAAACTGCAACCCAAAACCCACTTATGCATTGTCGGGTGCCGGGTGGGTGTGGCCAATTGGGTGGGCATGGCTTATTGGGTGGATGTAGCCCATTGGGTCGGCGTGGCTGCGGTGGTAACAGCAGACTGTGTGGGACTAAAAAGTTCAATTAATCAATTCCAACTTTGCAAGATCTTTTTTTTCCCACGAGAAGTTGAAATTGACTGATTGATTGAACCTCTTTTTTTTGCACACAGCGGCGGAAACCTAAAGCAAAAAGGTTTTATAAAACCCAGCTGAAGGCCTAGGACTGGGGGGACGACGCGCGTGCCCACAGAGAGCGCTCTGAGTGCCGCCTCTGGCACCCGTGCCATAGGTTTGCCACCACTGACCTAGTAGAACCAGGGTCTTAAGGCTCTTATGTAAGGTCATGAGGATGGGGGCCAACCTCATCTCGGGGGGTAGGATGTTCAAGAGGACAGGAACCATGGCAGAGAAGGCTCTTCCGGATCCCACCAGCCAAAATTCCTTGGCTGACGGGATCCTCAATATACCCACTGTGCTGGCACAGGTGGGATGGGCCAGTCCCATCCGGATGAGACTGTTCCTCAAGAAGCCTGGACCTATGCCATGAAGGGCTTTAAAGGTGATAACCAATACCTTAATAATGTCCTGTCACTGTTAGTTCAATTCCAGCGTGCTGTAGAGTAGATGAAATGATTAAAGACTTATGTTTCCTCTTTATTGATTGTTTTGTGTGGTATTCTCCTTAGGACTTGCTGTGGGCCTGGATCCTGAAGGGTATGGGAACCCAGACTTTTGTTGGCTCTCCATCTATGATACCCTGATTTGGAGCTTTGCTGGTCCCATTGCTTTTGCTGTTGCAGTGAGTAGAGAAGCAAGGGAATATGGGGAGGAAAGGCAAAAGACCCCCATTTCTCAAAATGGGGGCAGCTGTCTGGTTCCATAAGGTTACTCATGGTTTACTTGAGGTGTAATTATAAATGCATGAGAAAAAAAGAGATTTTTTTCTCTCTTTAGGATGGACATGGCAACTATTACTTTTCACACTAGGACTTAGTTTTATTTACCCAGTGTGTCAAGACTGCCTAGTTCTGCCATTTTATTTTTCCAACTGAAACACCCTGAAGAACTTGGAAAACAATCTTCTTGCTCAACTGACTGAAGATGCAATGGAAGGCTGAGAAGCACTGCAGCTCTTCCCTTGCTCCAACAGGAAGCTCAGATGATGGGTTACTTGAGTTTCCCAATCAGTCATACAATTGTTATAAGACTTATAAAATAGAACTGATCTTTGCAAGACCAAGGAAAGGGCACTGCCAAGGAAGAGGGACTGATACAGTATTTAAAATATTCCAGGTTTGGGAGGACGCACTATTAGCCAGAGAGAAATCTAGTATTAATCTTTTCCCTCTTTCATTCTATAGATGAGTGTCTTCCTCTATGTCCTGGCCACCAAGGCCACGTGTGCGGCTCAACAGCAGGGTTTTGAGAAGAAGGGGACAGTGTGAGTCTGGCATTGTTCATGCACAACTACTCTTTACACCTATTATGTGTATTTATTCTTCCATGTCCCTGCATTGTGATCTCTACTTGTTTGGTACTATGTGGCTTTCCTCTGAGTTATCACCCTTATTATTGTCTCCACCTTATTTGACCCTACTAAGTTGTTCATTCTCCTGCTTTCCATTTTCTGACTTAGCACTTCCAATATTTTTGTTGGAATTGTGGGATCAGTCCTACATAGGTACAAAGCTAAGTAGTATTGCAAAGTTAGTGGAGACCATGCTCCAGGGTCAGCCAAGAGAATCAGGAGCTTATTCATAAGTAATATTTCACCCATGAGACTTGGGGCTTGTTGTGTGGGAGAGACCACATTGACTATGCTCTTTCTCTATTGTAGCTCTGGTCTACGGTCGGGCTTCATCTCTTTGCTGATAATGAGTGTCACCTGGTTACTGGCTCTGCTATCCATTAACAGTGATGCCATCCTCTTCCACTATCTCTTTGTGGGCTTCAACTGCTTCCAGGTAATTTGGGTATCGGAATATAGCACGATAGCACACATTGGTATGGAATCTCCCCAAATCAGTCACATTTGCTCAATAATACTGAGCTGTTATCAAGCCCCCCAATTCAATTTTGTTTTCACCACTTTCCCTTTTCTCCAAGAACTCATTTATCTCAATTTCATACAGTAATATAAATTGAAGAATCAGGCCAAAATTATTATTTTTTTTAGAATTTCATGTGGCATTTGGACTATGATTGACCTCTGTTGGCAATTGGAGCAAGGACCATGCAGATTTTATTGATCATGATGCTGTATCAGGCATGTCAAGCACTTTCCAATTAGCAGGGGAAGAAGAGGTAGATTTTTTTAATGGGTTGGAATCTTTTAAAGGATGAAAGAATTCTAGAGGTGTACTGGGAGACATAAACAGCACTTACACAGCACTTTGACCACATGTTTTAAACCTTTGAAGAAAATCAGTTCTTATATTCTTGAACTCTTTGGCTCTTAAAGTGTTATAATCCTATGGAACAGCAGGATTTTAATTTCTATTATTATATATAGAAATAGTTATTTTACTTCTCTCTGTTGCTCCAAATACTTGAATGTGTATAGATTTCAAACAAGTTCGGTACTCTACTGTTCGGTCAGAGATCAATTTCACTAAATTAGGAAATGATTTAAAGTAGGATTTTTACCAAAAATATAGCTCTCTAAGTCATAATGGAAACATGCAAAAATGACATTTTTCTTTTTTACAACTACTGTTTTTTCCTCCAAGGTAACATCTACCAGAGCAAGTCTTATTAATAAAAGCAGCAGTTATTCTCAGCATAGAAATATATGGAACAAAAATAATAAGACCACGTAGGATTGAAAAAAGAAAGCAGGGTCTGCAAATTAGGCTATTGGCTTTCCCCTACTATAATGTTTTGGAAACCCAGTGTGGTGCAATGGTTAAATTGCTGGACTAGTACTAGGGAGACTCAGGTTCAAGAACCCCTTTACTATGGAAATACCCCGATAACTTTAGACTAGTCATTCTCTCTCTTAGCGCAACCTGTTTCACAGCATTGCTGAAGCTTGGAAGCCATGAAGTTGCCATTCATTGCTTATTCTCTCATTGTTCCATAGGGACCCTTAATCTTTCTCCTCTGTGTCATCTTATGCAAGGAAGTGAGGAGGGCTCTTAGATCTATTTGTGGAAAAAAGCACAGCACTGATCCTACACTCACTACCAAATCTACCTTGACAGCAGTGAGTATCTCAAGGCGCTTTCTTTCCTATTCTCGCTGAGGGCCAATAATACCTTTGAGTAGAAAACTGTGGGTATGTTGTTGCAGAATTTGATACTGATCTTAAAAGGCAAAATAAACAAAACTTTGACCTGGAATTGGCATTTTGCTCCAGTTCAGAATTTTGAGTCATATTTTGCATCAAGAAATGACAATGAAGCCACTGGCAATGAAGCAAACGTGTATACATTTTCGTGTTTTGCCTAACTGATTCTCCTACTATTAGTATTATAGAAGGTCCAAAAATGATGTAGGACAAATTATGTACAATCTCCAGGCTTGAACGCCTGAGCACCCACATCTTTTCACAACCATCTACATCACTTAAAACTGAGTAATTTCACAAAAGCTGAGATTCACCTCCGAATTTTGTGTTTCTTGGAACAGATGGCATGCATAATATTCTATATCTTGCTTTCAGATCATCTGCTGAGTGTTTATATCCAGAATATAACAGGAACAAAGATGGTCTGCTTTCTTATAGCAAAGATGAGTTTTGGCAACAGATTCCAAAGAACAGCTAGTGAACGAATGCCTGTGAGAAGACACACACTGCTAGCATTGAGAAAAGAGACTTCTAATATAAAAGAGATGAATGGTCAAGTAGATGAGACAAAGCTGGCATAGTGAAAGATATGAGGTCCAGAACTGAGAGCTGTGCCAACGAAAAACACTCAGATCCTTAGTCCAATTGATGAACCAAAAATATATATATATATATATTGAAGAGTCTCACCAAGTTAGTTAGTTGTTGCCTCTCTGCTGCTATTAATTGATCTCTCCCATATTATTCTGATCTCAACAGGCTTATATTTGCAACAATACCTACGTGGATGGGCAATTGTACCACACACCATTTGGGGACTCCACTGGTTCCTTGCATAGCACTGTCCGCTCAGGCAAGAGTCAGCACAGCTACATCCCTTTTGTGCTCAGGTAATGCTAATGTAAAGAAGGTCTAACTCAGTGGTTCTCAACCTGTGGGTCGGGACCCCTTTGGGGGGTCAAACAACCCTTTCACAGGGGTCACCTAAGACCATCGGAAAACACATATTTCCGATGGTCTTAGGAACCGAGACACCGCTCCTCTATCTCCTTGCCCTCCTCTTGGCTCTCTCTCTCTCTCTCTCTCTCTCTCTCTCTCTCTCTCTCTCTCTCTCTCTCTCTCTCCCCCCCCCCCTCCCCCCCCCCTCNCCCTCTCCCTCCCTCCCTCCCTCCCTCTCTCTCTCTCTCTCTCTCTCTCTCCCCCTCTCCCCGCCTGGGCACTTCTCCAACCAGGCTGGGCGGAGATGGCGGAACGGCCTTCCCCCCTCCCTGTCCAGCTGGATGGGGGGGGTTGGGGGTCACCACAACATGAGGAACTGTATTAAAGGGTCGCTGCATTAGGAAGGTTGAGAACCACTGGTCTAACTCTTTCCCTGTTCCCATAGTATAGGTCTTGCTGGCTGTATTATGGAGCCTTGGCAGCTATCAAATTCTCTATTTTCTGTTCACAGGGAGGAGTCTGGCTTGAACAATAGCCAGGTACACATTGGGCCTGCGGATCCCAATTCTTTGTTCTTGGAAGACAAGGATCAGAACAATGGTGAGAGGAAGAGAATTAGACAAGTTCTGGGCAGAACTGTCTACATCCCTGGGCTTATGAATTGGCTTCAGTTGATAGCCCTTTAATGTGCTTCTTAAAGCTACATATGGTATTTCTCATTTCCATGTAGTCCTTTTCTTGTTTTTTTTCCCCTCCACTTCTTTAAATGCTCTATGATTTTGGACAGCTATGGTGATTACATGTGAACAAGAAATTCCTCCTCCTCATGTTTCTCAGAGTCTAGTCAAAGTTAAATATGTGCTAGGGCTGAGGATGTAGTAGATCCCTAAAGTTGCAGCTTAGTATATTACATAGCATTTCTGTAAATCCCATGGAACTCATGGATATCTTCATAGAATTGCACAGCAAATCTCTATTCCCTTTGTTGTGCTAAAATTGATTTACCCTAAAAGAGAAAGGCAGATTAAAATGAGCACTGTCTTTGTTTGCATACAGAAATTGAGAACCAGACCATTGTGATATGGATCTTCCTGTGTCTGTAGAGGAAGACTTGCCTTTTTTTCCATAGACACTATCCCACTCCTTATGAAATTTTTATTTTCACACTTCATAGTTAAAGAATCTGTATTTATCTACACAACAGTCTTGTGGAATAAATAAGGCAAGGCAGACAGCCCATTGCCCTTCAGTGAATTTAGTCAGTTACAATAGAAAGGGGGCTTGGGGTGGGTACTACAGGTTAGAAAGGAGACAATTTGTTGTGTGAGAAGATGTATAATTCTGGTTTATTTGTTAGTCTCCCAAATTGTTGGGAAACTAAAAAATTAGCCTGGACTTTAGAAACTGATAAAACAAAAGCTGCCATAGCCAAGAAGATCACCCTTGGATAACCAGTTTGGTCTAGAGGTTAAGGCACCAGGCTAGAAAGCAAGAGATTGTGAGTTCTAGTCCTGCTTTATCCATGAACATCAGCTGGTGACCTTGGGCCAGTCCCTGTCTCTCAGCCCAACTCACCTTACAGAGCTATTGTTGAGGGGGAAATAGGAAGAGGAAGGGTGAATGTTCACTACCTTGAGTTATTTGTAAAAAGTAATAAAAGGTAGGGCACAAATAAGTAAAAGAGTAAGAAGTAAAGCTACCTTCAAATTGAGCTTGATTCCTGGCACATTGCTTAGATGCAGGACAATTTTCATGTAACTGATACTTGAAAACAGGGAATTGAAAGTGATAATATGCTGTCTTTTCCACCAAAGAGTGACACAGAACAGAAGGATTTTCCCTACAGAATTGAAGTGCTGTTCACCCATTATGGTGTTGTCAGAAAACGACAACATGGAATTTGGTGTCTGCATTACTGATCCTTATCCTCTACTGCCTATGTAACTAGTCTCTTCTTGCCAAGGTCATGGGGGACAAAGCCAACAAATTTTGTACAACTTGAGATTGTCTTTTTACTGTAGAAGAGTAAGGAAGGAAACATGGCATTTACACTGGTATAGCTAAAAAGAACATAAGTCCGTTTCACTCGTGGGTTGGAAACATAGTGATGGTAATATCATGTAGACATGGCAATCTTCACCCTTTCCTCCCCAGGCATGCATTTGTTACGATTAGGTACAAGTGGGGAAAGACTCAAAAGTCAGGAGCCAGTTGTTGTTGTTTTTTAAATACTGATGATGTGTGTTGTATTCTTAGTTGAACTGAAGGAGTTCTAATACAGTAGTAGACTTGGGGAATAAGCCGGCAATGGGGTGGGCATGGTTTCGGCATGACGCATCTGGCCCATGTGCCGGCAGTTTGACACCCCTGGTATAGATGGTTCTTAAATCACCAATTGAGACCATTTAAGTACTTGGTATGAGAATCAAGTGGTATGTCCTAAGCAGACACCTCTTCTATCCTCTTAGGGGATATGTTTTGTTATGATTTGAGACCGTAGAACAGTTGAGTGAAGAATGGGTGCGCTATTAATACAGTCTGGTTACTATTTGTCTTTCTCTCTGCACTTTTGGGGCACAGAACGTGATACTGATTCAGACAGTGACCTCTCTCTGGAGGATGACCAGAGTGGTTCCTTTGCTTCCACCCATTCCTCAGACAGTGAAGAGGATGAAGAATTTCCCAAGGAACCCTGCTGGGAGAACTTACTGTGTCCTAACAATGAGAAACTGCCAGCACTCAGCACTCCAAAGGGTAATGCTAGAGATGGTTTTGGGCTATTCCAGGAATATCTCACTAAAGGAGGAAGGGATGGAGCTAACACTAGATCAGACTTTATCCAGCTTACAAAGATGTTTCCACTCATCTTCATCATTTTAGAATTTCTGCGACTGTGTGGTAGAGACCATTGCTATAGTGATTCCAGGGAATTTTAAAGCTTGAGTAAGGTGTGTAATCAGGTTCAGCTGCTGTAAGTTGCAGATGCTTTAAAACTACGCAAAGTTGTCAGTTGAGATAAAACAGATACAATCTCAGTTACGACCAGAGAAAGTTTATTTCTTCATGTAAACTACTTCATTGTTAGTTCTTCCCTGTCAATTTAAAACTGTAATTTACCTTAATTCTCAACAGTGGCATTGATGTCTCTTCTCCTTGTATGTTTTCAAGCTATAAAGAGCTGCTAACAAGAGGTGATATAAAGATGTAATTATGTGACAAAGGGAGAGAAGAAACCCTGCAGAGCTTGCTCACTAAGATGGTGCTCCAGAATAGTGAATATAGGACAAAACTTCTCCTTCAGTATAATTTTTCTCTGGTCCGTCATGTATTTTTATATTGGTTACATCTCCCTGGGCAGTTAGCTTTTGTTAAGTTATTTAATGCAGCTGTTGAAAAGTCAGGAGAGCCGATAGAGGGACATTCTAATCCACAATCTTCTGCTTTCTCAGTAGATAACATCTCTGGACCTGGAAACCCTTATTGGCCGGGTGACTTTGTAACCACTGCCAGTGAGAGCGATGGCCACCCTGCCTCAGAGTCGCTGCGGGTAGAACCAATGGGTAAGAATGACCGGATGGGACTGACAGAGGAGTTGGCCAGAGAGAATGGAGAGGGCATCTTGGGCTCACTGCCTCACCCCACTGCTCAGCCCCAGAAAGGTAAAAAGTTAGATTCTGGGAACTGTAATGCCGACTGGTCTGTTTTACCCTAGCAGTTTTCTCTTGGGTTACACCAAATACCAAGTTGCATTTTGCAATTGCTCTTAATATTCAGGAGTGAATTCAACATCTTAAGTCTCTCAGACCAGATTAAATATGGAATACGTGTATGTGGAATTAAGAGAAATAATTTTTTGCCTTTCTGTATGACCGGAAGAAAAATGTAAAAAAATGTTTTGCAAATAAGCATTTTTCCCAAGTGTGATACAATAGTACAGAATTTAGCTTTATAGAACATAATCTTTTAATAACCCGTTAATCGACAAATCTAATTGTGTGTCATTCTTTGTTAGAAATAAGATTGGGCCTAGAGCAGTGTTTCTCAACCTTGACAATTTTAAGGCATGTGGACTTCAACTCCCAGAATTCCACAGCCAGCAATGCTGGCTGTGGAATTCTGGGAGTTGAAGTCCACATGCCTTAAAATTGTCAAGGTTGAGAAACACTGGCCTAGAGAAAGCACTGGGAACATACAGTATTAAAGGATACAATATTAGTTAGGCTTAATTTTTTCTGTTAATAAAACTAGCTCTCTTTGGGTAGAAGTAATGTGTCATTGCAGCCTTTGTTGAGAAAGCTCCACAATACTAATTTATAAGAATTGATATACATAAATACAGATAATCTGGCAATGGCAATTCTTGTAAAGTTAAAGACTGCACTGGGATGAAGATTCTCCAAGTCACCAGTTTATAACTGAGACCAAAAAAAAAAATATCTGATCTCTTTTAAGATCTTGCTACCGGATGGGCCTAAGACCATGGGATGTGATAATATGATGAAGGAAATATATAAAACCAGATAGTCTTTAGTCATTAATTTCAAGACTGTTTTAATTTACCAAGTGGATTGGATCCTGGGTGCCTTTAAGGCTTATAGATGAAAATGGGACCCAGCTCTGCCTTTTTTTTTTTACAAGTAGAACATCACCAAGGCCGCACCTCTGTCCATAAAGACAAATAGTCAGATCCTTTGGCCTCGGTTTCCTGACTGTGGCAAGGAATGGTTTGTTTGTTTGTTTTTACTCTGAATCTTTTGCCCTCAGGCATTTTAAAGAAAAAATACCTGCCACCCATCAGTGAGAAGAGCAGCATCCAGCGCATCCATAACAAGCTCTCCAGCTGCCGCTCAGGGATGGTATCCTTGCATGGTTCTTCGGGGAGTGATGGCAGCCGTGGAGGTGGGATACCCCGACCCCGACAGACCCTACAGGAGCAGCTCAATGGCCTTACACCTATCACCATGAGCATAAAGACTGGCACAGTGGACGAGGACTCTTCGGGCTCCGAGTGAGTATGGCTGAGCCTTCTCCTTGCTCGCCTGTCCTTGGTGGTTTGCGTGTGACAACGTGCTGCCTGCGTGAAGCCTCTTGTCCACGCCGGATCTGGTGCTTTCGATCTTTCAGGCTGATATTTTGTTATATTTCATAGTTGTCCCCTCCTCCTTTATTCCCAGGCTGTGCCTTAGAGTCCCGTAGATTCTTCCGGATGTTTGTGTTATGAAAATCCTTTACTATTCCACGGAGGGGAGGGTTCCCATTCTTGGAGAAAATATAACCCCTTAGCTGCATCTGGATGTAGCTCAGAATCTGAATGGCAGGATGCCGCCATCTCCTCCTTTGTGGACTTTAGGTGGGAAAGGGAACTTTTTAAGGGAAGCCCGGGGTTACCTTATCCCAACGTCCAGAGGAGCGTGTCAGATTTAACGTCCCTGAGAAATACTGAGCTGCTCCTGTGAGATGCTGGGGGACTCGGCCAACCTATTCAGCACTGTGAAGGGGGAATTGGGGGATGCTATCCTGTTCTAACCTCCTCTTGAGCTCTCTTGCACTAACCCCTTTTCCTCCTCCTCTCCTTCCTTCTCTGTTTCTTGTTCTCTCACCTCTCGCTTCAATCGCCCAGATTTCTGTTTTTTAATTTCCTCCATTAACACATGAGCCCCAGGGGGGGTGCTTTGCTCAAACCTGCTCATGACCACACTCATGTGTTTGTGTTCCCCCTGTCCTGTCTCGCTTTGTGTTTGATCACTGAGCAGGAGCGATGAAACCTCAATCTGATGTCGCATGCACCAGACTCTCTCTCTCACACACACGTTTCGCCAGTCTGGGAGCCAGGATTGCTCTCAAACCACAGCGAGGAATGTTGTCTCCGTCAGCCCGGCCTGGCCCAGGGAGCTGGACCCACTGTATGTCGTGCCAAATGAAAAGTGACCTGCCCCCCCCCACTCCCTGGGGGGGAACACCAGGTTCCAGGAGGCGGACTTTGTTGAACAGATGCACTTTGGATCATTCTAAAATGGACTGAAAGAACATAAACTTGACCACCTCCACGTCTTCAGGGATTTTCATGCTTTGTTGCCCAGTCTGGAAGTGCTGCGTGTCTGGAATATATATATTTTTTCGTTATCAAAATTGGTCTGGGGGAGCCTCAGCAGCCACCATGTGGACATGTATTATTGTGCAGATGCTTTCATTGCATATTTGACAATGGGGTGGAGCTAGGGGCCAGTGTGCTTGAAGATGGCTGCAACTAGGAGCCACCAAGAACTGTAAGTTTTGACTTGAGTAACAATCCAGGATCAGCCCAGTTTTGGCGGACACCATGCTGGGCTTCTCCTTGGACGGAGGGAAATAGCACCTTTTAAATTGAAGCTGGAGGGTCTAGCAGACCTGGCTGTGCAGAGGACGCATGTGAGACCTACTGTATGCTAGACATTCCTTAAGAACCTTTGTGTTGAATCTGGAGGGCACAACCGGCTTCCCTCTTCAATATATGTGTGTGTCAAGGGGCCATGGTCATGCTTTTTTCTGATCCAGCAGCGTGCATCTAAACACACCTTCCAAGGTGCAGTTGAAGCATATTTAATCCAGGTTGCAGTTCAGTCTTGGGCTGACCGGCACACACAGAAAATAGGAGTCTGACATCTTGGTTTTGCCATACTAAGCAATTATAGAATAGGAAAGAAATTCATCATCCAAATAACTTTTCCAGAATGCTGTAAAAGTACATTGCTCTTCTGCAGGGCAGCACTATTGCCACCTGCACTTTTCTGGCCTAAGGAAAGCTTTTTTTAAAAAAAAAAATGTTGAAATAGTAGGCTTGTTCCAGACCCAGAGCCATTTCCCCAGGATGTTCATCGCTATCATGCTGCCTACATTCATGGATTGTACAGTTTAGCGTCAGCTGGGGATCTTGTTCTTCTCTGGCAAGTTGCTTACTCCAGCCTTGGTGCTTCAGATTGCAGTGGGATCAGGGACGCAGGACCAGCCTATCCACTGGCCTCAATGGAAACGTTCCTCCTTGGATCACAGTTACTTTCTTAACTGCTTTGTTTGACAGCCACTTCTCCAAGCTCAGCTCACCATTCCAGTAACTTGGCCCCATCAGAATGCTCCAAGAGGCAGCCCATAAGGTGTTGAGCACCACAGGTGTGGCCTGCTGAGCCATCTAGTCCACGCTGCAATTATTTTCGTAGAAAATGACAAAAAGAAAAAAGTCCCGCCTCCCGCTCCTCCCAGCCAGTCAGCACGCGTCCCCCTGTTGCTACTGTGGCTGGAGCAGGAACGCTGCCTTGATGTCTCCCAAAAGCACCTGGCCCTCATGCCAATAGGTTGCTGCCTTTCTGCCTCAGAAGCCTTCATTTTTTTCTACACTCAGCCAAGCCTGATGCCTGCTCATAATGGGGATTTTTCATGTTGGTCCTTTTGGAAAGTACTTTTTTTATAATGTTCACCGGGAAAAGAGACTTTTCTGCTAAGGGAGAGTGGGAAGAGGGGGGCAGCTTGGGGAGGGTGAAGGCACTGTTACTTTGATGTGTTTTTATTTTTATTTTTCATTTGACCACTGCTGAAGGAGTTCTAATTTAAATAGCTGAAAAGTCCTTGGGGTCATGCTTTATAGCAATGTTAAATCTTGTTAGCTGGGTGCAGAATCTGATGCGCTTTACTGACTTAGCCAAGGCTTGCACAATAAGGGGTTAATTGAGACTTGACTGTTGTCATGGCCTGGCTTGTCAAAGAAAGAAAATTAGGCTTTTCTTTTCAACACCTCCAGTAATACTGCTCATTACTCTTTAGCCTTTTGTGGCCTCTGTATTTGCCAATTCCAAAACCTTTCTTGGAATGTTTTGACACATAGAATGTGATTCTCTGAGATCTGCATAAGGTCAACTTGGCACTGCAGCCGCATCTACAACGCTAAGTAGGTCGCGGGTCTACAACTTGCCACAGCCAACTCATCACAGCCAATTCACCACAGCCAACTCACCATGGGATAATTTGCCAGGGGATAATTCCCCACGGCCAACTTGCCAAGGGACAACTCACCGCAGGACAAGAGTTACACTAGTGTCGAAGAAATAGAATCATTAAAGAAAGGATGCCAAAGGAGGGAGAAAATGAAATGTGAATGACAAAAATTAAAATAATTTTGTAATTATTTTAAATAAATTGAGTTGTTGAATTGTCCTGCAGCGAGTTGTCCTGTGCTGAGTTGGCCATGGCAAGTTATCCCACAGCAAGTTGGCCGTAGTGAGTTGGCCATGGCAAATTGGCCGTAATGAGTTGGCTGTGGCTAGTTGTCCCATTCCAGTAGGTCAAAGGGGATAAAGACCAGCTTCTTCAGCGTATGATCTACTACTGTGTTATTTCCACTGAGTGTTCCTTCTGACCCATTGGACTTTAGCTGGTTAAGTGAAAGGAGACACAACCCCCCCTCCTCCACCCAAAAAAAGCCTGTACAAAAAAAGAGCCATTTGCTCAAGTTCCACTTGGAGCCCGTATTGCTGTTCAATACCATTCTGGTCAATTCGCGCTGCTCATACTGAAGCAAAATGGAGATACATATGGAAATAAGATTCAGCTGGGCAGGAACCGCTTTGGCATCCTAATATATGGCTTGTTGGAAGTTAGTGCAGCAGGAAGGAGTATTTAAAACCCACAGGACTTCCCTTGTTGCCCTGGAAGTGTTTTTCCTCATGATTCATAGGTGAATGCAAAATGGTAAGTGATGCTTCCAAATGCAGGAAATGGGACACACTTTTGGCTATCCCATGTCTATAATAGCTTTCCTCAACCCGTTGCTGTTCAGATGTGTCTGAGCTGCAAGTCCCATTGTCCAGAACCAGTATAATCCGTTGGTCATACAAATTGGGGGTTGTTGAATGTAGTCCAATACATCTGAAAGGTATTGACTGGGGAAGGCCAACTTGAAATGCAAAGGTATTAGAGCAGGGGTGTCAAACTCGCAACGTTACATGATGTGTCGCGATGTATCGCGACTTTTTTTCCATTGCCGGCAATAGGGTGGGCGCGGTTTCAGCATGATGCATCCAGCCCGCAGGCTGGCAGTTTGACACTCCTGCATTAGAGTAAGTAAATCAGAAGAAAAAGTTACTAGGACAGGAGGCCTTTCAGATGTAACTAAGTTACAGGTATCCCCAACCCAGATGATAAAAGCTGGGGATTATTAGCTGTATTTGGAGGGCTACAGATGTCTTACTCCTGGATAAGGAGAGGCAAACCAAAAAGGCTCCCTCTCAAATTGCCACCTGTTAAGGTAGAGGCTAATTTATTCCTGAATATATTTATTTTGTTTTGGTATGCTGAAAGAAGGTTGGAAGGAAAGATCAATGGCATTTCTACGGTGTCTTCCATAAAGCCCCATTCCTTCATAAAAACATGAAATTACATTCTTCTCCGAGCAACATTGCATTATATTTTATGTCAGGGCTCCATTAAGGCAGCTATCAAACAAATGAAGCCTTGGGAATTTTTCCTTATTAAAAACCATCTTCACTTACTACATTTTGGCTTCTCCGAAACCATTCAAAGTATTAGATTTCTACCAGACAAAAAGCACTGGTTACCTGCTCCATCATCCCAATCGCGAGTACCTCTAAATATGCTGAGTTTTTAGACTGTAAGTCAAATGCACAAACTAGCCTACAATAACTTCCTATGCAAAATCTTTCTTATATGGCAAATCCATTAATTGAAACAAACTTGAAAGCAGGGGTAGTAAAGGATTCAAACTAAGCTCTCTACAGCAGCAGCGACTTCCAGGGAAAAGAGTTTTTTTTCCCACCTATTCCTGTGCCAGGTGGGACGGAATCGGAGGGGGAGGTATGCCACTCCATTCATGACCAAGGAAGTGTTAAACCTTAACTGTATTAAAAACTGAGAAACTGTCTTGTATGGGGAGCTTGATGTGAAAAGTTCAGCTTCTGCTTCATCACTGCAGCTAATTAATTTTTAAGTGTCCCTCTGCTGTCTATAAAGAGCTAATTAGCTGTTTTAACTGTGGAAAGGATGTATTTGACATGTCTGCTTTTTAATTTATTATTTTTTAAAGATGTATAATGCATATATTTACAACTGAGCACACCTTTCATTTCCTAGGCAATAAATCGCCACCGCCATTGTCCAGACCTAAGCATATGCCATTGTAGGTTCAAGGTTCTTGTCTTCTAGTACGAATTTCCATTGATCCAACCCATCTTTTTCCTCTTCACTAGCTAGTAAAGTCATTTCCAGCAGAGCTCAGCTAAAGCCATGTACAGCTGTTTCCATAGTCTTGAGTAGCTGTGATGCATGCAGAAATTCAAGAAATAAATGCTTTCGTGTCACAGCCTCATCTACTGAATTGGAAACGGTAGTCTTTGGATTTCTGCTTGACAAGCAGCTGTTGAAGTTGGTGGAATACTGCCAGGGAAGCAAACCTTATTTTTCCTTAAGAAGCCCAGTTTGATGAGAGGGGAAAGCACGGGAAGAATTATGATTGAATTTTTTGGGAGGAACACTTTTTTTTTCTTAATTCTTGATGGGTTACAGCAGCGGTTCTCAACCTATGGGTCGCAACCCCATTTGGGGTCGATCGACCATTTCACGGGGGTCACCAAGCAAGGCTGCCCGCCATTTTTTTCCCCTTTTCCGGCGGGTGCCTTACCTCCCTTGAGCTGGGCCAGCTGGTGGTCGGCCTGCTCCGTCTCTGCCGTTTGCCAGCTACGCCTCGGCCGGCGCAGGGGGCAGAACCACGCATGCGTGGCCCTCCCGGGCAGGAAAAGTCGACTTACGACCGGTTGGGTAGTCCTCGACTTACGACCGGTTTAGTCCTCGACTTACGACCGGTTTAGTCCTCGACTTACGACCGGTTGGGGGTCGCGGCATTAAAAAGGTTGAGAACCACTGGGTTACAGGCTTTTCCTTTGGTTAAATATCTCAAGTGTGTAGGGAGGGTTCTTAATGTAAATATAACAGAGTTCGCCCCTTTTCCTAAATAATAAAACCATAGTTCCATGTAGGTGGTTCTATTTCAGTGCTTTGTCTATCTCTACTAGAACATTGAGTGGGGAAAGGGAAGACCAAGAACCTGAATTCAATAGAAAGAGTTGAAGCTATTAAGTTTCCTCGCTACTGGGCAGAGGCATTATAAAAGAGAATCTAGATTTCTTCTCTTTCAAATATATAGAAAAATGACCCCCCCCCCCCCCCGTTCTTCTGATAATGATTTTTTGAGAAACCCTTAATCTTTGCAGAAATAAGATGGTTCACTGCAGGTTTTGTAATTCATTCAGTTTTTGTCTGAACAATGTACATGGTCTATCTATCTGGAGACATTACATTAACGATATCAAAATGGGACAAAAGTCAAGCTTCTCATACTGAAAAGGAATTAACAGTATTGGTTCTCTTATCTCTGAGTGAGCACTGATCACCAAGCGGCAATAATTACTCGGCAATAATTACTCGAGGAATTGGTTTTGCTACAAATTGTTATGCAGATGTGTTTTTATTAGAAAGGCACATATTTTTTTCAGAAATTAGAAAATAGTGATACAACATTCATGAATATAGTGGCAGAAATGATACAGCATTTTGTCCTTCAATCTTGTGCAAGGCATAAGAATTAACTTCACTGTTGCAACTCCTTAAGCTGCAAGGAATTCATCTTCTATTCCTTAGTATCTACTGGAGGAAGAATTTCCACATATCAAGGAATCACTCTGCAGTCTTTGAATGGAGTCCTGTCACTATATAGTCTTGAAATGAAGAGTATTGAGATGCTTAACACATTATTACACCACTTCTGCAGAGATTGCTTAAATAGTCTCAACTTCCTTCACTTAAAGCTTTATTGTCCTTTAGGGAAGCACCATTTAATTTAGAATAGGAAGGAGCTGAAGATTTTTTTGATCAAGGCATTTTTCTCTGTGTTAGATTGTTGCAAATTTGATTAAGTAGATGGATAATGAAGGCAGGGAGGTAGATCTGTTCTAAACTGGGCTTCTAAGAATCCCACTGCAATAGCTTAGAACTATTTGTTTGCATTTATATACTGTAGGTCTAAATAGTATGAAACTGGCTCAAAAGCAAAAGTATTTTCAGCACTGTGTGCTGCTTTTCCATCATCTAAGCCACAAATGTCCTAAGAATAATCAAGAGCAGTATAAAAATGCTATTTAATGAGTGTGATTTATGTTTTGGGATAAATCTTTAGCAACTTCATAACAGAGTAAGTTATTTTTTTTTTTACCTCTGTTTAGGTTAATAGCACAGGAAATCTGTGGATTAATAGCACTACCACTGACCATCCTCAGTTTAATATAATAGAGTGGTTGGTGTACCTTATAAGAGACTAAATATTCCACTGAGTTCCAGTAAGGCTGTTTTTTATCTAATAAAGTTTTAAGCTAAAGCAACCATTAAAAAGTCAGGAGAGTCTCTGCTGCTGAGCTGAACTTCTCCCTTTCAGCAATGGCGCAGCAAAACTTCATAGGCTGCTGCTCAAAGAGACTTCGAGCCCTCAAAAAGTTTCATTTATAAATCTAAGGAATGTAATGATAGGACAAGAACTGGCAGTGCTTCCTTACTCCAGATCCTCAAACCACAAACCCAGAGTGTGATAATGTTAGAGGAGAAGCACAATGCAAGCTTTGAAAGTTCTCTTGAAATAAGTGATTCCAGGAGCTTCTAGGAAACCAAAGCAGCTTTATCTTCAAAAGGAAGGCATCGTCCAAGATTTCGGGCTCGCTCCCAAGGTTAGAGTAATGGCTAGTAGTATTATCTTAAAGGACAGATGGAGCAGGTAGTTAGGACAGGTCTACAAACGCTTGAAATCAGTATGCACTTAATATTAATTTGTATTGTACTTTTTACATACACCTCAGATCTATTCCATTATTTAGAGCAATCACTAATGTACTTTTTAAAATCCAAGGACTGGGATTTTGTTTTTATAAACAACGTGGATAGATTTTCAGCTGCTAATCATCAGATCCACAAGCATTCAATACCCAGAACATTCGACAGAAGAGCACTGCAGGCAATCTCTCACCAGCACGTGGGTTGACTTTCTCCCCACAGACTTGTCTTAGAGAGCCAATGCTTTTCCATTGACACTGGTGAGGTAGGACACTTACGTGGCTTCAAAACCCAGGAATCCAGCCCCTCATTTTGAACTGCTAGAAGTTGTCGTCTTTGGCAGTCTCATCCTGCTGTTCTGAAAAGTGCCAGGTGAGACTGGCTTCTGACATGCAGCTGTAGAGGGAGGTGGAGAGAGGGAAAAGAGAAGTAATTGTGTTTAATTCATTATTTATTTTATAATTCCAGCACAGAGGAAACTTATGCTACCAAAAAAGTCAGACAATTCTTGACTAGAAACTGAGCAGAGAAAACTAAATCAGCCAGAACTCTAATCCTATGTTATTCTTGTGGGGAAAATCCATTGTTTGAAAAAGGTTTAACCTCCCTCTCTACATATTGAGCAGGGTTGTCAGCAAAAATCTGGCAGCCCACTTCGATTCAATATGGCAACCTGAGTGCCACCAGTTATGTCCATTGCTGAGAATTCTGGGAGATGAAGTCCACATATCAGACAACATGCAGATTAGGGAAGGAAAACACTATACAGAAATGTAACTGTAGAAGTGTGCAAGAAGAATGGGTCACCAGAGGATTTCTCTTATACAGACAGTGCTCTACTTATGAACAGGTTACGTTCAAGACTCATGGTCAAGTCCATTTTGTCCACAAGTCAAAAAAAGGGCATGTATGTGACACGCTGTAAGGTATCTTCTCTGAAATTCAAGGACCTTCTAGGCTGGAATTGCAGACAGGCTTTTTTTGTGTGTGTGTTTAACACACATGACTGTCTTGGTATCCAGAGTATAGAAATTCTATATCTTCCTTGTACATAGGTCATGCTAATTTTCTCTTTATTGTTCCAATTTTAGTGTATGTGCTGCTAAAGGAAACACAAAGTAAATAACCTATAAACCAGCTTATGTAGTCCAATATCCGGTATGGATACAAATGTACTTCATGGTACTTCAGGATGATAAAGAATTGTGGTTTACCATCAGTGAGGAACAATGTAATGATTACACCTCGTTGCTCCTATTATTTTGGTTTTACAGGTAGTCCTTGACTTATGACCCTAACTGAACCCAAAATTTTCATTGTTACGCAAGACAGTTGTGACTTTTGCCCCCTTGACTTTGTTCGTCAGAAACTGGCTGGGAAAGTTACAAATGGTGATTACATAATCCCAGGACAGTGCAATTATTATAAATACATGCAAGTTGCCAAGCATCCAAATTTTGATCACATGGCCATGAGGATACTGGAATGGTCGTAAGTGTGAAAACCAGTGGTAAGTCACTGTTTTCAGTGTCATTAAATGAATGGTTGTAAGTTGAGGACTACCTTACTAGGCATATCTAAACAAGACCAGATGGCTTATTTCATGTTATGTGTAGATTAAGGTAGATGAAGAACTTGTTTCTCACCTAAGAAGACGATCTGACGTCACATGTCTACCATTTTAATAGATGAAATGGCATTGAGAACAATCTTATCCCAATGTATAGTTTTTCTAACAATATATTTCAACAGAATTGCAAAGCTTTTTAGCATCTCTGTGCATTCACTCACCTTTCTTCCCAACCACAGCAGTTGGTTTAATGGATCTTTGCCCACCAGATGTTTCTGAACTCAGTGGTTTAAACTGGCTGGATTTCCCAGGAACGGCATACCTGCCTAAAACAGCAGCAGTATGATTGATTGGTTTTGGCACTGGAAGTTGGCTTGCCATTGCAGATGTGGCAGTGTGTCTTGTTTGAATCTGACAAGAACTACCACGAGGCTTGGAGATGGCTTGTGTTTTGGGACCAATGCCTCTCATAGTTTTCACCTGACCTGTGATGAAAGGGAAAAAAATGATTTAATGGCAAATCAGCAAAATGTTTCTAGACATAGTGACTGGATCCTATCTAACTCTTTAAATGTAAAAGGATGTGTAGGTTATAGATAGATACATTGTTTATATGGATTTTCAAGAGTACTTTGTCTAAGTCCCTGTGCTATGGACATTCAGCAGTCACACAGTAAGGAATAGAGCAAGAAACAAAGGCAATTCATAGTGAAAGGGGAAAATGTGTGGGATCTAAAGATTTGAATGAGAGTAATACCAGTTTGCTCATCAGCTAGAGAAACAGACATTAATGATGGGTCAATAAGTTTTCAATCTAGTGAAGACCCAGAATGAAAAGCTAAAAAAACTTCTTAACTAGTTTATTATTGTTGCCACGTAGGAGACTGTGGGTTCTAGTTCACTTTAGGCATAAAGTCAGCTGAGTGACTTTGGGCCAGTCACTCAGTCCTAGGAAGCAGGCAATGGCAAACCAACTTGTGAAATCTTGCCAAGATTTTCGTGAAATGTGATCAGGGGATAAGGCAAAATACAAGTAACATATTCTAACTTACTTGCATTTGTCTTCTGGAGAGGTACCCTCTTTTCTGGAGCAACTGGAATTTTTTTCACAGGGCTGGTCCGCAAGAGACGCAACTGAGGAGTTGGCTTTTTTTTCACTTGTGCAGCAAGCACTGTCTCTTTGTTAGAGGAAACCTGCAAATATATCCACAGCAAGATTCCAGAGGAAATTACATTTTATAGGATTGTGCTACGCTATCATAAAGATGGCTGGTGCTCCATAAGATTCAGAAGCTTCCCTGTTGTGCATGGAAAACAAACAATATGGTTCTATAGGCACAACATGCACACCCACCCTTCCATGGATGAATATATCTCTGAAGAGATTGTACAACTTACATGCATGTTTTTTGAGATGTTTATAGCCTTAGCTTGCATTGATACGAACAAAGATAGGCTAGGCACCCTTTCAGCCTGGAGAACCATGTCAGAGTGGTTCTCTATACATGCAGTGATGTACGTTCCTAATTATCTGCCCAGTTCCCTCCTCTACCCCCAGCTCTTCTGTTGGAAATACTGTACCTGTGAGCCTTGATCAGAAACATTTTTAGCAGAAGCTTCTGTCTTCCTCAGCATTTTCCTTATGCTGGTTTGAGGGAGAGGTTTCAAATGCAGCAATGGCTCCTGGCCTTTTGTGGTAGTGGGGAGGACAAGTGCTTTATCTGTCCTGCTGTTCCTGATAGTTGCCTGAAGCTTAAGGTAGAAATAAAACAGCTGCAGCTTTTGAACAGAACTACTATTCTGTAGAAAGTTGGCTAAACATTTTTACACAGATTTTCTATGAAAAAAAAAATCCAAAATATGGCGATACATAGCCCATTCGAAGAAATATGGTCCTCAAAGCAGAGTAGCAGCTTTTAAAAAGCAAAAAAAAAATCAGTAAACATATGACTAAGTTAAAAGCAAGTGGGCAGATTCCACAGAACCGAAAAGTACATGAGTTTAAGTGAACAAAGATTTAGGTAGTTGTCTAAACATGTTTATCAGAACATCTTTTTCCAAATGGACTACATAGAGAACTGTCTTCTACAAGAAAGTTGTAACTTATAAGGTGGATATAAAAAGACAGGGAATCATCTGGCCAAGAGCTGTATTTCCCATTTAGAAGAGGGAAGCTGAGAGGTACATGGGTGAAGCAATGATATGCTATGGGCAAGGCCATATATTAGTAGAGCCAGGTTTTGGATTCCTATCAACTCTCCAAGGTGGTACACAGATACGTTTTTTTTTTTGGTTTAACATATAGCACACCTATTTTAGGACATACATTGAACTTTGTTTATATTCTGCCTTGGGATGGTGAAAAACCTAGCAAGCTATTTGATAAAATAAAAGGGACTACAGGAGTCACAAAATTAACTACTTGGGGAATGCAGCTTAGCTACTCCTGCCATTAGCAATCTTCAATAGCTAACAACTTTCATACAAATCTAAAGTTGACTGGCATAGATTCTGGGTAAAATCCTAAGGTTTTGAAAGAGTACAGTAGGCATCTCTGTCCCTCTCACCTTTTACTATACATTTAGTGCAAAGTGAAGCAAGTATCTTTCTTAAATGTGTATATAACTCTCTCTCAAAAGTCTAATGACTTTGACTGTAATGTAAAGTTCTGCATTTCCAGAATCCCACGATCATGACTTTATATACTACACTAGATTTTATAAACAGAGATACATTCTTGTTTAAGAGTAATAACTACTACTACTACTACTACTACTACTACTACTACTACTACTATCTATGCATTTTGATCTGCTCCAAAAGATGCTTCTAAAATAGTAGGGCTTCCTTGTGATTTCTGAAACATAAGGCAACTATGGGAATCTAAACTCAAAGCAGAGAATATAATGTATAATTTGGTAAGGCCACACTTGGAATATTGCATCCAGTTTTGCTCCCCACGATAGTAAAATAGGTATAGACTCTGGAAAGAATGCAGAGAAGAGCTACAAAGATGATTAGGGGACTGGAAGCTAAAAATATGAAGAATAGTTACAGGAATTGGGTACATTCAGTTTAATGAAAAGAAGGACTAGAGATGACATAATAGCAGTGTTCCAATATCTAAGGGGCTGCCACAAAAGAAGAGGGGGTCAACCTATTTTCCAAAGCACCTGAAGGGAAAACAAGAAGCTTGTTCTGGATGTTCCATCCATGTTCTTGTATGGAAACTAGTCAAGGAGAAAAGCATCCTAAAAACAAGGAGAAATTTCCTGGCAGAACAATTAATCAGTGGAATGGCTTGCCTTTAGAAATTGTGGGTGCTCCATCACTGGAGGTTTTAAAGAAGAAATTGGACAACCATTTGTCTGAAATGATATAGAGTGTCCTGCTTGAGTAGGGGGGTGGACTAGAAGACCTCCAGGGTCCATTCCAACTCTGTTATTCTGTTATTCAAATAAGAGGGTGCTGGGTAGAGAAAGAAGATATCAGGTTGGGAATTTTCTTTCCCAATATTGAATTTTGCAAAATGGAAATGATTAAAGCTAAATTATCTTTTACAGGGCTAGGGAATAGATTACCATAAAAAGTACTTGGAGAAATTGGTAAAGAAATGCTACATATTGTAACAATCAGTGTAATGAAATATTGCATCATCTTTATTATATGGTAATAAGAAGATAATGCTAGTAAGTACCATGCAGAGCTACTTAAAAGGATCTTTGTGTACTATTGCAATGTGGGAAAAAAAGATGCCGCAACCGTACTATCTCAGTTTAAAATACTAAAAAGAAACAAACCCCATAGTTCTTTGTGTCTAGCAATCCAGAGATTTAGGGGTGGGGATGGGGGATTACACAGTGTTTTCATTAAAAAAAAGTCATCATGTGTGCAATGTCTACAAACATTTTCAATTAGCGAACCTGACATTGCAATCTTTACAATTCTAAGAAGTCTGGGAGGTCAGTTGCTGAGGTTTTGAGAGCTGAAACTCTTAACAGAGTTGAAAGGCTGTTGGGAAAGGCTGACTAAGTATAATAAGCACAAGCTTAGGAAGAAATCAGAATCAAAACCAATGGTTCCCTAAGCACAATCTTTGCAATCTATATGCCTTATTTATGAGCTTCTGTCCTGCCACCGTACCTTTTTATTGCCAGATGTCATTGTCACCAAGGCCTTGGGTTCAGAGAGCTTAGCTTGGGGAACATCAGTGCTGCACACATAAGATGTATTTTGGAGTCTTCTGGGATTAGTCAAGTCCACCAGGTGGGAAGAAGGACTTCTACCTTTGGAAAGCAGAGCTTTGGGGGAACCTTGAGCCAAGCAGGAAACTGGTTCCACTGTTGGGAGCAGAGCTTTCAGAGGACTGTTTTTCACATTGAAAGTCTTTCTCCGGGAGTTCTGGGGAATCTCAGTCTCTGCGCACAAGAATCTGATTGGGGGTAAAAGCTCATGTTCTAGAACCGTCTCAAGCTTTGTTTCAGAACTGATATTCTGCTTTTCCAGGAGCTGACATTTCTTAAGCTGCATAGCCAGCAAGTTAGCTTCTTTCATGACCTCCTCCAGCTTCATTGGAGTCAGGGGACTCCACTGGAGAATTGGCTCTCTGGCCCTTCCATCATTCTTCTCCAACAAGATGTTCAGCTCAACTGCTTGTTCCACACTCTTGTCATTGAGTTCAAGGGGACAAGTTATAGACTCTCCCTCTTGTCTATAACAGCAATCAGTGCTGAGAGAGAAAAAAATGAAACACATTTACACATTCAAGGAAACAGCCATGTAACTCAAAATAAAGTTCCATATTTTTATTATTGTAGACTTGTTATGAGAGGCATGTAAAAAAAACAAGAATATAAGAAGGTCACCTAATAAAAGTAGCTCCCATCTGGCCAGATTTCAAAGTATTTGGCTTTTGTACAAAACCAATAAAGCTTGTCAGTATTAGCATTTTCAACTGTTATTTTTTATTTAAAAATGCATTGGAAATATATTAGGGATTAGATATATAATCTTTCAATTTAAGGAATGGACAACAAATTAGAATCATTTATTCATTTTCTTTTTTTCTCCTAAATAATTTATTTGATCCACTAAGATCTTCATTTGTGCACACTTGAGCAAAATGTTTGCACTGGGCTTTTCACTTTCATTCTCCAAGGGATTTTAATAGTTTGAAAGATCCTGACAATGAAGCCAGCAAGATCATGATCTTCATGAGGGTCTCCTTGCTGATAATATCAGAAAGATGAGGAATAATGTATGAGTGATTCAATAGGAATGAAGGTAAGTGGAGCTTGACAGATGTTAAGAAAGCTACAGCATCTAGGGAACGAATTCCAAAATGAATCCCAGAAGAAGATAATGGCAAGCCACTACTTTATTGTGGCCAAGGAAGCTCCATAGACATTTAGATAAATTTGGTTCTAGATTATGAGACCAACAATTTAGAAGGCATTTCTCTTGTAATTAAAAAAAAACAGCTGAATTTCATTAATACGTCTGGAAAAGACAATATGACTTTATTGATACTATAAGTAAGCCTGATCACTGATCAGTTGTACTGTCAAAGAAGAATTTTTCACTTTATAAGGATGTACTAAGTTGGAACGTGGAATATAAAGAACAATGATCCAAAGGAAATCTGACATTTTTAAAGTAGAAATGAAATGTACTATACTGCATGTTTTAAGAATAGCTCAACTTATTAAATGCACTAAGTGAATCAGAATTGGTCCCTCTAATCACAAGATATTATATATTGAGGTCATGAGACCATACAAAAGGAATGTAGTATCACTGATACTTTAAAAAGGATATAATTGAGTATGTGTTTACCTATAATTTGATAAATGACAATATATTTCCGAATTAGGAGGACATATAGTGAACATCAGTGTCAACAAGGATATGCACCAACTATAGACACATTGATGGAAGCCATTGTCGAATTCTATGACAAATTGCAAAAGGATGATTGGAATGCAAAATTTAGAGAAATGGAAGAAACTGGAATTACAGGAAGATTAGGACTAGGTAAATGAAATAATGCAGGAGACGTTAATAGAGTTTTATGAAGAAACATCTGTCTTCACTGCCAACATCTACATCAAGCAATGTAAAGGCAGATTACATCTGGACATCACTGAATGGACAACATCCGACATTTCATAATAAAATAGAGAAAATGGAGATATATACTCCAATTCACCATGACAGTTTGTAGAACCCACTGATTTGACTTAGAGAATATAGAGTCAGAATTTAAGAACATTGAGGACCAAATTTAGTATATTTAATTTAGTGAAAAAAGAACTCATTAAAAAATAAAAAGTAACAAATATGAGTAATGCAAAATATTAAGATGACAAATATAATGTCAACCACAATCACTGGATTCACAAGTAACACCAAAGAAATGAAGGAGATTGATAATTCTGTCTTCTTGGACTCAAGAACTGACAGGCATGGAGGGTCTTTCACAGAGTTAAAGTACAGTAATCCTAGCAATGAAAATGACAAATTTACACAAGATTGAGGATATTTTCTATGACAAAAGAGTTAAGACAATCCCCTCCCCAAGTGGTAACATACAGATATAGATCAAGAGAAAGAATTTAGAGTAGTGCCAACTACTCTAAAAAAAACAACTGTCAATTAGTCCTGGACACAGTAAAGACTCCTTTAAAATTCTGATCAAGTAGAAACTTTGAATGTGTAATGCAAGTGGATGAACTAGAAAAAAATTATTGTAGATGGCAAGGTTGATGTAAATAGAAGAATGGAAATGTAGTGGAAAAATTGAATGAGCGGGATCAAGGAAACTATTGGAATATCCTTAGAAAGACTATCAGTTGATCCTGATCAAGATAGCAGGGAGAGACTGGGCCTGAGTTCATGGCCCCTAAAGTAAATAATTTTACTTTTAATTTTTAAAAAAATTGTTAGTGGTTGTTAGAATGCTTGCTTATCAACTTCACACACTTGCTATTTATTTATGTGATAGCTTCTATGAATTGTCAGTAGTGAACTATCAGTCTTACCCATCCAAAGGAGAAAACAGTTCAAAATCCAGTGTCTCATCAGCAATAAATTTTATATCTGAAAAATAAGAAATCATAATCATTAGAAGTATTAATCTGGATATTTAATCTTTACCATCATCACAAATATTACCTAGGCATCTTAACAGTTCTAAGCAAGAAGAGAGAGAGCTATTATTTGTAGTTTGTAGTGAAGAATATTCCCAAGAACAAGCTACTTAAAAGTCCTTATAAACTCCATGGAAACAAAAGATGTTAATTCTTGTGCACCAAATCACATGGAAAATTAGTGGCAAAACAGAGAATTAAAGTCATCTATTCATTATTCTGCTATTAATAACTTTAATATGTTCTGAGAATTATACATGTTATAGTGGAACCTGACCTAGACAATTATGAATAGTTAGGCATAGTTAAAACAAATGAAATCTACCTGAATAAGTAAACTTATAATTCTTCATAATTTCATACAGAAAGCTTCACACTAAGTATTACACAGTGTTAAAAAGTTTCTACACCATCCTGAAAGGGGATTTTTTTTTTACCAAGAAGACAAGTTGTAATGTTTCTAGTCCAAATGACCTTGGATATGGTGTAGAACAATTTCATGCATATATTTAAATGCATAGACACTGACTTTCTGTACTCACCCTTCGATGATTCCATGCTTTCTAGCAATCATCTCAGGATACTATTAAATAACTGAAGGGGGAAGATAACAGTTAAATACATCTTGAATGTTAAGGGAGATGTGTTCTGCTATTTTTACGTATTAGAAAAATAACTGAACTCAATGGGAACATAGAAAGCTGCTGTCTTCAGATTATTGGCATTCAGGTTCCAGGTTTTCAGGCAAACAGTTTAATCCTGGTTTGATCATGCAAAACCATCTTGTTTACTAATCTAATAGCAACTTTAAACTTGTCATCTACTATTTTTATTTTAAAAATTACAGTTGTTATTGATAACATTATATTCTGCAAAGTTACGGTTTGAAAAAAAGTCTGCTCAACAAATGCTAGAGATGTTATTGAAATTTCACTAACGGCAGATTGGAAAAGGCTGTTTGGTGAAATGTGAAAAAAACTGCATATGAGAAAAAATACATGGAAAAGAGTGCTTCAAGAAATGAGAATAAAAAAATACTCTATAATTTGTATATAAAGAAAAACACAATGGATAGGAATGTAATCAAAGAGAGCAAGGACCAGTTCAGATTAGCAAATACAGAAATGTTTGAATGAAACAGTTTTGGAATTGGGTATGAAATGCTCTGGGATGAAACTGAAGAAATACTGAAAGGTATGTTTTAGAGATCTGATGGGCATGATAGAGATACATGAAACAAACACTGTAAACAGTAGTCCAGAAAAAAAAGACAACAATAAATACTATAATATTGAAAAATGTAAGGTTGCAGCTGTAGAAAAGTTAAACTATGAATGTGGTTTGCTTATGAAGTAGTAATAAGTAATAATAAAGTTGGAAGGGACCTTGGAAGTCATCTAGTCCCACCCCCTGGTCAGGCAGGTAATCCTATACCATTTCGGACAAATGGCTGTCCAGTCTCTTCTTAAAAACTTCCAGTGTTGGAGCATTCACCGCTTCTGGAGGCAGGTTGTTCCACTGGTTAATTGTTCTAACTGCAGCGCCGAGAGGCTGAGCTGGGCAGTGCGAAGCTCACCAACTTTGCACCTTGCTGCCTGCTGAAATTGGGCAGGCTGGGGGCTGAGTGGTGGCATGCTTCTTTTTGGATTCCTGTGAGAGGGATCTTGGAGTCCTAGTGGACAATCACTTAAATATGAGCCAGCAGTGTGCTGCAGCTGCCAAAAAGGCCAACACAGTGCTAGGCTGCATTAACAGAGGGATAGAATCAAGATCACGTGAAGTATTAATACCACTTTACAATGCCTTGGTAAGGCCACTTGGAATACTGCATTCAGTTTTGGTCACCCTGATGTAAAAAAGATGTTGAGACTCTAGAAAGAGTACAGAGAAGAGCAACAAAGATGATTAGGGGACTGGAGGCTAAAGCATATAAGGAACGGCTGCTGGAATTGGGTATGATTAGTTTAATGAAGAGAAGGATGAGGGGGGACATGATAGCAGTGTTCCAATATCTCAGAGGCTGCCACAAAGAAGAGGGAATCAAGCTATTTTCCAAAGCGCCTGAAGCCAGGACAAGAAGCAACGGATGGAAACTAAACAAGGAGAGAAGCAATCTAGAACTAAGGAGAAACTTCCTGACAGTTAGAACAATTAACCAGTGAAACAACCTGCCTCCAGAAGCAGTGAATGCTCCAACACTGGAAGTTTTAAAGAAGAGACTGGACAGCCATTTGTCTGAAATGGTGTAGGGTTTCCTGCCTGAGCAGGGGGTTGGACCAGATGACCTCTAAGGTCTCTTCTAACATAATAATAATAATAATAATAATAATAATAATAATAATAATAATAATAATAATAATAATAATAATAATAATAATAATAATAATTATTATTATTATTATTATTATTAATTAAAATGCACTGCATAGAAATGGGGGAAGCAAGAATGTTTTGCAGGGATAGAAAGGGGTGGAGAGTAAATTAAATTAGTGATAGTATCTTTTACTTTCTCTCTAGCCTTTTTTTTTTTGCTTACTAGTTCTTCCTCCATGCTTTGAATGGATATTTATGGATGGATGTGGTTACATTAAATCTGTTAGAAACTTCCTGCTCTTAAAATTGTTACAAATTGCAGAGTAGTTTCATTACGTTATTATCTCCCAGGCAGAAAGTGGGACCTAAGAACTTAAAAGACTTTGAAATGCTATGCTTACAGTGTTTCAGGCACTCAGGCAATCCAAATGAAAATTATGCAGCTTTTCTCCTCGATTTAAGTATAAAAATCAATATTCTTTACTCTAATTATTCAAGAACACTGACAATAAACGATGTCGAGCCACTCCAGAGCAGCTTTTGTATCAGAACGATTGAACTCAGTAGAACCAGTGAGCTTCCAAACAGCGTAGAGCTGGGTAGTTTATTTCAGGCAAGAATGAAGCCATCATATCCATGCCCGTTTGGCTTGTTTCGTGTATCCTAAGATTGGGACTGAAGTCCTTTGACCAACTTCTGACTATAGTAACTAAAGTGTAGTCATTTTGAACAGTAGTCTTATGCTTCTTGGAAGAAACAGAGACCTCCTTTGCCTTACCCGTTAAAAACAAAACAAAACAGTTTACAAGAATCAAGGGCAAGGGATCAAGGGGGGAAGGCAAGCAGGACGCAATTTTACTTTGCTTGGATGAAAATCTCACTCTGCTCAGGGAGCGGGATTGATTCCCCGAGTGTTGCAAGTTTTAGCTCCCGAATAAAAGAGCTAAAGACGGGTGTTTAATTTGCAAACAAGAGCAAGATGCAAAGCGAGTCTCTATTCAATATTTTACACGCATGCGCTATTTCGTTCCTAAATTCACCTAAATGCTAGGAAGCGCAACTTCATTTTGCCCCTTTCATGCGAAAATCTATCCATCCCTCCATGCAACATGCAATCCATCCCCGCCTCCAGCGTTCCTATCTCCCCCACGCTCTCACCGCAAAGTTCCTCCGCTCCTACAAACAGCCAAAAAAAAGAGAGCAAAGCAAATTCGAATTTCCCCCTTTTAACTCCGTCACAACAGGGTTCTGCATTCCTTTATTAGCGATTGGCCCAAGGCAAGCGGACTCCCATCAGCAACGCCCCCTTTCGGCTTTCTCTTGCAAGGGGACGACGTAGTCGGTAGTACCGGAAGTGTGGCGCGAGAATTTGTTTCCCCCAGCGGCTGACAAAGGAAGCATGGCTGCCGTGCCTCCGGACACTTGGCAGCCGCCGACTGTTTCAATGGAAACCACGTAGGTGTGAGAAAGCGTTCGGTAGCATGATAGAGGGAAGGTTCCAGGTTTGGTCTTAGCACGAACTAAAGAAAATCTCTTAGAAAACGTCTTGTGGGAACCATTGCAGTCGGGTAGACCGATTCCGGTTAAGTTTCCTAAAAGCTGCTTTTTGGAAAGAGTTGAGAGGTGCTGATATCCCAGTGTTTCTGGCTGAGGAATTCTGGGAACTGAGGTCCACATATCTTAAACTCAAAAGACAAATTTTGTCCACGTGTGATCTTTCAGGTCTTCCAAAGATGCATTCATCGCCACCGTAATTGAGTCCATCCTATTGTTTACTTGCCATCTTTCCCATTACAACCAGAGAGTTAAGTCTTCACGTAATATGTCCGAGTAGGATAATGTGTGCCCTGAGTGAGAACTCTGAGTCAGTCTGATGGTGCATTTGTTTGTTTTCGTGGCTATGCATGGGATTCTCAGGACTCTTCTCCAACACCAAAGTTCAAAAGCATCAGAAGCTTTTTCTATTATGCTGCTTCAAAGTCCACTGTGAAATATGAAAGTGCCATATTGATTATATCATGTTGTGCTTTTACATCTTAATATTTTATTAGATATTAAATAGCATAAGAATTCTCTCTATTTGCAGCATGGGGCTCATGGTTTTGGAGCTATACTGGAAACATGCACCCAAAACTTGCAAAAATTTTGCTGAGCTGTCTAGGCGAGGCTATTACAATGGCACAAAGTTTCATAGGATAATCAAAGATTTCATGATCCAGGGAGGTGATCCAACAGGAACTGGTAAGAACACAATCAAAATACACTTTTTAGATACTGTTAATAGAAACTAATGTATAATGTAAATGTGATATTAAGATGGCTGCAGTCTGTCGATTTCAGGTTTTCCGCAAATTCCTCCAGTCTCATTAAATCTAGGTATCCCAGAAACACAAAGTTGCAGGAAGTAGTTTCTGTTTTGGCTTTTCAATTTAATTTATTTAATTATTATTGTGGTAGGAAGAGGAGGAGCATCTATCTATGGCAAGCAGTTTGAAGATGAACTCCACCCAGAATTGAAATTTACAGGTAGGTAATCCTTTAAAAGGATTTATATGCTCTATATAAATGCTTCATTATCTGAAGTCAAATCAATTGGGTAAGATTGTATTTTAAAGACACATCTGACATTATTATCCCCCCAATTAGTTACTGATGGCCAAAGTTATACTGATAATGCTCAAATCGAATTAATAGTTTTTTTGTTATAATTTCTTTTTAAATTGTTTATTTTTTACAGATGTTTTATTTGCTTGACTTGAACTAACTCTGGGTAGCTCACAAAATAAAAATAAAAAATAATACAGGAAAAAATAAATGTTAAAATGTTACAAAATAGTTATAGATGGCAATCCAGATAATGCACAAGTCCAGCCAACCTACCCCACCGCCTAAGAAAATAGCCAGATTTTCACAGGCTTTCAGAATGCATTTCTTGAGAGGATGTCATTCCAAAGGATAGGTACCACTGAGAGAAGTTACATTTCCTGGAGTCTTGATAGATGACACTGTTTAATCTGGCTGGGTAGAAATTTTTGTGGATAAGCAGTCCTTCAGATAACCCGGCCATATGCCATGTAGCTTTATTAGCACTTTGAATCACACCTGGCCACTAGTTCAGTGTGTGTAGGAGGGAGGTCATGTGGTCATGCCAAGGCAAGCCCATCTTTATTTGCATCTCTGCATTCTGTACCAGTTGAAGTTCCTAAATGGTCTTCAGGGACGTGTAGACCTCATTGCAGTAATTGAGCCATGAGGTGACAAAAGCATGAAAGTCTAGAAAGCTGCCTAATCCAGGGAGGGAAACATAGTGCTCCAAAATAATTATCTGCCTGGAAGGGATGAAAAGGTAAAAACTTCTGAGATGCATTCAACTGTTGGTGACTATATGGACATATCTATGCAGATTTTTTTTTTGTAAACTACAAAAGTAGTTTATGAAAGTCTTCTGTGGTTTTTTTTTCAATTTCCCAGTCTAGATTACAGTCAAGAATTTTCATCAAAGTACTAATGTAATCAGCCCCAACTCATCTAAATACTAATTTGGTCCTGTTGAGTCTGACTAAGGTTGAACATTTGTCATTTGCTTAGCCTTCCCGGCACTGTAGATACGCAGTGCCCTCCTCCTATCACTTCATCATTGCAAGCAAGGGAAGAAGTTGGATTCCTTTTAGCATTATTCTGTATTGTGAAAACCCTAATCCCAAAGTTTCATGGACCAGATGCCTGATAAAAATCTTTTCATCTTTTAAGTCTAGGTTTAGGGGATGAGTCCAGAAAATAGTTATAGGGAAACTCTAAAAGTGGTGGGAATGACACACAGCACGTTCCAGAGAGTGCTGTGAAAGGCATCTAGTATTACAAGGGCTTATGGATGCCAGTTATTAGTCAGTAGAGATGCACAGGCATCTGAGTAAGAAATGGGAAATGTACTTCAGATCCGGAATAGGCATGTATGTTATCCTTGTCAGTGGCATGTTAATGAAGTTGTCGCATATAATAGCTCTGAAGTCACGGAAAGATATCCATTTAACAACTCCTGAGCTTAAATCCATATTTTAATAGTTGGTATAAGTGTAAAGGCCATCTGAAATCCATGGGCAGCCCTATAATCTCAAAAATTCTGTTGATTTGACTATGAATTTTGATACCGGTGAAGGAATGATATGCCACAAAGATACACCAGGGTGCTACCATTTTTTTGTTTGCATATTTGTTACAGGTAACTTAGAAATGATAAACTAGTAATATTTTTTTTCCTTCTTAAGGTGCAGGAATCCTTGCTATGGCAAATGCAGGTCCAGATACAAATGGAAGCCAGTTCTTTATTACACTAGCACCAACCCAGTGGCTTGATGGCAAGCACACTATCTTTGGTCGTGTTTGCCAGGGAATTGGGATAGTCAACAGAGTGGGTATGATGGAAACAAATGCGCAAGATCGTCCAGTGGATGATGTAAAGCTTTTGAAAGTTTTCCCATCTGGCTAGACTGGAATCATAAAATTGTTACTTATAGACTCTTCAAAAAAACAACAACTGCTGTGTGCCAAGAGATATCTGCCAGCCACTTGCAAAGTAATCTCTACTAAAACTTTCTTCAGGATTCATTGTTAACCTTTTTGTTAAAGCTAAATAATCAAGAGATTCATGAACTATTTGTCAGGGATAAATGCCATCAAGGTGTGATAAGTGTTGTTGACAGCATAATTTTGTCATCTATTTATGCTTCATTTGGAATGTAGTAAATCACATGCATAAATAAACATAAAATTTTAAATGCCCAGAAGTATTCAGGCAATATGTAGTATTTTACAAGTCATCATAAATACCTGTTAACCTAGTGCAGGGTCCATATGACTCTGGAAGTAAGATTAGAATATTCCAAGTAGAAATAAGAAGTTGATTTGTTACCATTTGTTTATTATGTAATGATATAAAATGTCATTTATAAAATATAAAAGTTGGGACCAAATCATTTATACTGATGGTAATTTAACTCTTGGTCTCATTTTATATCCCTCAAAGTCAAGGACATGAAAACTTATGATACACTGTTTGAATAAAGTGTGTTTTATCAATTAAATTTTCTTATTGTTTTTACCATGATTAATAGCTTAGTGCTGCAAATAAAATACTTCCACATTTGTATATATCTATTCTATGTTTATCTCCATAATATCGTTCATCTGTATTTCTTTCAATTCATACCTACAGATTTCCATAGTCTTAACACCTAAAAAAAATTCAGTCAATCTCTAATGGCACTTTTGGGTGTCAGGTTAGCACGTCATCTATAATGCATTAGTTTGCATTAATATTTGATCTTTATATAGACTTGCCTCTGCTTTCATATATTTATGGCAGCAAAGACTTTTTTAGTCTCCATAGAATTCATCGTATAGATGGAATATTATGCTAATGGCAGATATGCATATACAAATTCATATGAATATACACATAACCTCTAAATTGAACCGTCATGAAGAATTAAGAAAATGTAAGTAAAGTTAGGGGAAAATAAAATGCAGGATGTATAGAAAACTACCTTGATTATGATGATTGTTCAAAAGGTAGATGTTTGCACGATATGAACATTTTTTGGACTGGTAAACACATATCTGGAAAACAAACCCTTTGCTCTTTTCCTGTTTTGTATTGTTCATATGTTGATACTGCACCATTTTAGTTAAACTAAAGGGGGCAGTCTTCCACAAGTATTCTAAACTGACTGTAGAGAAATGATTGAAGAGATTACTAATGGCCATGAGGTGGAGAGATAGAGCCACCTTATAGAAATACGGCACTGAAAGTAAAAATTGAAAGTAATAGAATCATTCTTGAATTATTCAAAAGATTGAAGCAGTTAAATGGTAAAATGAGACTTGGTATTTTTAAAAGCATATGCAAGATCTTCAGATTATACTCTAATTTCTTTAAAAGACTGCTAAGCAAAGTGTCACGTAATGAAATGCCTTTCAAATATATTCATAGTATATAGATTTCACCTAATATTAGCTGGCTGTTTTCTGTATCTGGATTACTTACTTACATAAACATATAATATTTCTCAATTTTCTAAAATATTCAATAGTTTTTCAATCAGTTTTTGAAAGATGAAAAATAAAGTCCCAGTAGAATTTAGCAGAAATGCATCTGAGTAAACAGTTCTCAGTCAATTTACGCAATTATGCCATATAAAAGGCTCACTAGTATAGTACATAATACTTAAACACAATGCCATAATTTTGCCACCATCACAATCTAATTGGAAAAACTCTTGGCTTTGATAATGAGATGTGCATGTATAATCTGGAAATTATTTTATTCTGAAATCTGTTTTTTATTTTTCTCTTAGCCTTGCCTTCTTCTGGTGGATACATTTTTTTTTGCTATGATTAATTGGCAAGACCCAAGTTCCAGGTGTCGACATTAATATCTTCTAATGATTAATCTGTAGTGATTTGTGAAAAGGAAGACAAGCACACCTGAAAACATCTTAGGGTGACTATGAAAAAGCTGCTGCCTAGTAACCGAGGGGGTTGATTGGTCTGAGATTTTTGATATAAAAGATGTGGTGTGATTTAAGAATGCTTAGAGAAACTCTATACTGCATCAGACTTCTAGTTTATTTAGACAAGCGGTTCTCCGCAATGTCAGACATCGTTTGTCCAACAGTTTTGGGGCACAACGAGACAGACACCCTTTTTAAAATCCATTGCTATTCAACTGGTAGGAGAATGCATTCTATCCAGTTTCTCTTGCCCATTTTTCATTTCAGTTTGCAAGAGATGAGAAAAGACCCTGCTCTCCTCTGAAAGATTAAGGGAAAATACACGAAACCATGTATATACTGTGTAGTTCTCAAGAACTGGGATATTCCAAATTGTTACAGGGTTGAGATTAAACAGAGAGCAAGCAGGAGTTCTAAACAAAGAGTCAAATTGCAGAATGGAAAATCTGGGAAGCTGAGTAATGGGGCTGAGCAAGCCCATCACATAATGTTGGACTGGTTGTTGTTTTTTCTGCTTTAAAATCGAAAGCCTATTTTCACAAAATATTATTGCATTGCATTTCTTTTAAATAAATCTTCTTTTTTTACCATTGCATTGGTATGGAACATACTTGTAAATAATTATGCCTAAAATTATACCTCCCTTGTTTTCTAAATCTGTGAGCTGCTTAAATGTTTGATGTCATCCTTTGCCCTGGAGAAGAAAACATGTTTCAGAAGCAATTATGTATTTATTTTCATGAATAAATCGTAGTCCTAAAATTGCCATGTCCTGGTTTTATCACACAGTCTGCAATTAATAGAAGAAAGAAATTCAAAACCCTTGCTCCTCCCAACATCTGCATTTATACTGTTATTCATTTTCTACTGCTTACTTATATAATTAATGCATTCAAATATGGTTCATAATAGAGAAACTGTTAGTGTGTATGTGTGTGTCTCATTCATATACATTCCACAATGTATTCCACACCAAAAAAAGCAGCTGTATTAGAGGAGAATCCAGTTTAAAAGTTAAAAATACTCTGTACCATATTCTGAGATTTTGTCTTTTTACCATCTGTGAACCACCACTTAGGAGTCTACATCCAAGACAGGATAAACATGGTCTAGAGAAGGGGTCTCCAAACTTAACAACTTTAAGACTTCTGGTCTTCAACTGCCAGAATTCCTCAGCCCCACTATTGTTCTTTGAGCAGAAGGCTTAAGAGTCTTCTTCTTTTCTAGCTTGGTGCCTAATTCCCTCAACCGTTCATGATATGGTTTAGCCTCAAGACACTTTAGCATCTTTGTTGCTCTTGCATTTTGTGGGGTCTCAGCATCTTTTTTGTATTGTTATGACCAGAAATGTATGCAGTATTCCAAGTGTGGCCTCACTAGTGCAGTGTAAAGTGATATTATCACTTCTCACGTTCTTGATGCTATTCCACTGTTCCTAGAACTGCATTGGACTTTTTTTGGGTAGCTGCAGCACATTGATGGCTCATACTTAAGTGGTGGTCCACTTGGATTAGCTTGATTAGTGTCAAGTTAAGATCCACGAAACAGCATTAATCACTATTGAGTAAGAAATAAGAAATGGTAAAAAGCCATCTAGGTAGGCAAAACTAATCAATGAGAAATATTAAGTTTCTACACAGAATTAAGAATGTAGATATGTCCTTAGTTCAGAGTAGAGTATGTCAACCTTGGCATGAGTGAACTCTTGCAGTTCATAGGGCACTTTTAAGAGGTGTAGATTTCAACTCCCAAGAAATTCTGGCATATTAGTTGGGGAATTCTGGGAGTTGAAGTTCCTACATTATAAATTTGTGGAGAAGGTTGAGAAACATTGCCATACAGCACCTAGTAAGGAATATGAAGAGGACAGATATTTTCTTTGTCAACACACATCTATATCTTCACCTAGGATCTGATACATTGGGAAAGTGAAGCCTCGAGTAACTACTGAAGACCTTCTAGTAACTGATCTAATTCTAAGATAGGATTTTTCTATCTTGGAACCCAGATTTAGTGCTATTCATTCTGAGATCTCTTGTAAACTACTGGGAGAATTGTCTAAGCTTCCTACCTGCTATCCTTCAACAGACAGAAAACTCTCTCTCTCTCATTAACCAAGAAAGATCAATACTTACTGGAAAAGGACATCAGCGTATTATTGCAAGCCAGATCATCCTGTCCTGTTACATTCTGTCAACTGTTCCAGATTGATACTTCTGCATCTGCAGTTTCCAGGATTGCTTTCATTTCTTGCCTATTGCTTCTATTCTGATTGCACCTTTGCATTTTTACTTCACTCTCGTCTTGCTTTAGTTCTACCATTATGTTGTACATCCCTGCATAAACTGACACTTAAAGTGGATTGGGAAATCCCTGATGAACCAAGAAAATGTACAATTAAAAGAGAACCATCTGCCAAATAGGTAATCTTGATTCAATAGGTTATCATGCTAATTCAAAGCTAAGGAATGTAAGCTTTGCTGAAAATTTGCTGATTTGATTAGGGAGATCAGGAAGACAAAGAATAGTACCACATACAACAAAACAACAACCAGATTAGAGGCACAATTCAGTGTTTAGAAAATAGCCTAATTCAACTGGACTGAACCAGAAAAAAATGAGATTTGGGAAACTGAAGGGCTTTTTGAGAGTGATGGTGGGGGTGATTTGTCTGTTTTTCTTCTTTAATTGTTAGTACACAAAACCCAGCAAAGGCTGTAATATTTAGGACAAGATATAAAATATTCAGGCACAGGAGCCTGCCCTAAGGCAGGGAAACTGGAAAGACTTTAATGAACTGTTTTCTGGGATTAGTGATGCCCTGCAGAAGCATCATCTGAAACTGCCTGTTTTGGCCAAGAGTTTCTGTCTTTCTCCTCCTTTAGACTTACGCACTTCACAAGGCACTTTTTTTTAAAAAAAAAAAATGCCCATCTGTGCAGATTTTTTGTTCTGAGAACCATTTCCCATCCTTGAATGTGTTCCTTCCTCCCAAAGATAGCATTTGTGTAATGGTTACAGCAGAAATGGGAATCTACACCCTTCAGATATTGATAAGGCGTAGCTTCCAATATCTTCAACCAGGGAGCTGCAGTCTGAATAGTCACAGGTTTCTTATTGATGTACAGTATGTTTCCCAAAGCAAAAGGTATTTCTAGGAAGGAGAGTGGATCAAATAATGATATTGGAGGGATGTGGTGATGTTTTTTAAAAAAAATCCCCAATCAGTACCATATTTCCAATTCTAATGTTCCAATTTTCATATCCGTCTTTACGAAATACTGTTTTTGCCTCTCAGATTCTATGCTTAAGGTGCAACATAACCTTAAGCTGTAAGGGGCTGTAATATAAGTGTCAGGTCGTCCTTTTTGGTGTTCCAGGAATAGCCGGCAAGCAGGAACGAGAGACAAATGGCAGTTTTAATCACTCCGTACAATGATAAAGTCAGCACTGGGAGTAAATTGCTCCCAGTGCCTTACATAAGCCATGCACGCCTGCCCCACCCTCACCAGACCTGCCCCACCCCTCAAGCCACCATCCGATCCGCAGGAAGAAAAGCCGCCCAACCGAACGTTAGCCCCTCCCGACCCTGTCTGGTTCTGAGGTCCTCTTATTGGCCCTGTGTGATGTCAGCCCGGCTTCTGTTACAAGGC